TTTTCTGAAAACCAAAGCAATAGTATTATTATCATGAAATAAAACGTTCAATACAACAAGAATAGATGAAAACCAACTAATATGACCAGACTGAGAACTCGGAACCCTCGCTAAAGCATGAGCACACTTCACTGATCGAGAAACATACTTGATAGATGATTCAAAGTGTCGTTTGAGATTCTGACAATGCCTTACAACACAACCTGCATATGAATACTCTAGACAGTCCTGGTTGAGAAGTTTACACACCATCTGACCATCAGCGAACTATCACATTACACCAACCTTGCACAAGAATCCATGAAAGAGCCTCCTTCATTGTCATTGCCTCCGCAAGATGGGGATTATTTAAGCATCGAATGGGACCAGATTTTGCAGCCACAAAATTACCATTATTTGATAATACAACAACACCATAGAATCCATAATTTGTGGTCTGTGGAATGGAGGCGTCAACTTCAACAACAAAAGTTACTTAAAAACCTTCATATAACTCCATTTTTATTAAACTTAAATGAGTTCAATTTTAAGAATCAATTTATCATTCACTCATTATCCATTTCGAGAATATAATATATCCAATTAAACTTTTCATTTGGGAAAACCCAAATATACTTTAATTCAACCCAAATTAAAAGTTAACCCTAGTCAAAACTTTGCATCAAAATAATCCATTTTCATGATAATTTTAACTAATTTTCAACCGTTCCGACCCGTTAGTTCAAAATTTGACTACTATAACTAAAAAAGCACGTAATCACAATAATAACAAGTACTCATTAATTTGCACTGATTGGTTGTGCACTTACATAGAATATATATATATATATATATATATATATATATATATATATATATATATATATATATATATAATGTGAGTTGATGCAAGCTAATTAAGGCAATGTGAGGTGCAGAATTGTGGAGAGAAGAAGAAAAAATGGGATTGTTTGATGTAAAGTGAAGTGTGTTGGCAATTTAATTGATGAAAAAAGTGTGTAATTGTTGCAGAGGGCAGAGGGTGGAGGGAGGGACCAAATATCATTCAATGATTTAGTAATTCATTGCATCATGATTGACCCATCCATCACCTGACTCACTGACCACTTTGCCCCCCCCCACACTGTCCATCTACTGCTCCTATATGTCACTTCTTTAATTTATTATCCCCCCTCCCTACTATCACATTCATTCTTACAAATTACTTCTATATATGTATCTATGTGTTTATGTGTATACGTAATAATTACATATATATGTGATTGAATAAACCCATCATACATGTCCCTTGTTGCAAAGTGTATGGTATCAAACTACTCTTAGAGCATCTACATCAGTAGATAATATGGGGAGATTGTAGCATTAATTCTCCCACTTCAAGTTTATATCTAATGTAGGGGAGAATTCATCTGCAAATTTCAAAATAATGGCAGAGAAAAGAAGAAAAAGAAGAAAAAGATAAAAAACAAAGCATGGGTTGCTGTGCGCGTTTCGCGCACAGCAGCCAGCCCACATGGGGGCGAGTCAGGCGCGCCGAACGGCGCGCCTAACTCTTTTGTTTTTTTATTTTTTTTTTCGTTTTTGATTTTTTGATTTTGGTTTTTTTTTTTGTTTTTTTTTCTCCCCTTTCCACATTCTCTCTCCTAATCACTCTTACATTATCCTCCAATTCTCCCAAACTAATGTGGATGCTCTTAGTAGTGATTTTTTTAGGATTTTTGTGAGGAGAGTTAAGATAAAAGAAAGAAAAAGAAGAGAAAAAAAAATTATATTTACACGAAAGAAGATAAGGTTTTTTTAAGAAAGTGAGTCTCAAATTTTATTTTTTTAAAAAAATAATGTTGGCACGTGTTTATCACATTAGCACCCATTAAAGGCACGTTATTTTGCCTTTTTTATCTTCTGGCAACAGTAGTGTATCACGTCTAGGTTGCTCACTTGCTCATCTTAGTGTTATTTTAAAATATACATATATATTATTATTAAGATTAAACCAATCAAAATTATGATGAAATTAGATATTTTTAACTAGGTATAGAACAAAAAATTAACTCATAGTATAAGAACTAGATTGCAAAGAAAGGTACTTTCAAAAAAAAAAAGATTGCAAAGAAAGTTATAGATGCAATAGGGATCGAATGTTGTGTGTTACATTGAGATAGAGTCTTACAATGAAACTCTTAACTAGCTACCTTACACTTGTGCTATGATTGGGAGTTTGGGACATGCAATACAACTATAAGTCTATTTATGCAAGCTTCAATCACACATTTGTATTAGATTCAAAGTAAATTACAATTACTTGTGATATGACATAAGCCATGCCACTATTTATTAACCACGGAGTAATTTTTTTTTATTTTTTTATTTTTAAAGTATGAGGTGACTTGCAATCTTTGTCAGATTAGTAAGGATTGCAAATCTTGAAAAGTGTGACAAAAGTACAATACTTTAAATAGGAGAGGGGGTTTTTCTCACTTTTTTATTGTTATTAGTTTTTAATAATTTAAATAATAATAATATTGATGAAATATTATAATTTTCAAATGTGGTGTGAAATATGTACCCACTTTTAATAGTGTGTTGAAATTGTAAGGACGTAGAGAAAATATTAAATGAATTACAAATATGATGGTGTGAAACTGTGAAAGCATGACTCATTTTTCAAAGTGAGATAATATTACACGGATAAGGATAGCTCAACCTTGGATTCACTCTAACAATTTTATCACTGGCTATTGAGTTTAATTTGATGTTGATATATAGTATATTACAAAACTTGCATTCACTCCACATAGTTCTTAAAAAAAATTACTCAAGAATTAAATTGCCAAGCAAATCATCCTTAAATAAATGTCCAAAACAGAGTGATCAAATGAGTGAAATATAACTTTTGCATATGAATGATCAGTAATTTCTTGATCGAAATTACTTAGTATGCACTTTCAAGTTAATGACTCTTGATTTTCTCATCGTCCAAAAAAAAAAAAAAAAAAAACCCAACATATTGTCAGTCATTATTGTGTGGACCATACTATCAAATAATATACATTCACTACACAAATAATTTACTTTTAGTATATTAAAATTGTACATTATTTTGTATAATGTATATTTATTACACAAAAAATATATTTCTAGTATACTAAAAATGTACCTTTTAGTATGGTCCACATAGCATTGTGTGGACCAATAATTTGCTTATATCCTTCGTAACCCAATTTTGGGCCAGTTGGAATTTCCAACTTTGCAAGTCCATTAATGGATGATGGGCCGGTGCTTCCGCCCAAAAGGGGAAAACAAAACAAGAAAAATTCCGTTGCCGGGAATCGAACCCGGGTCTCCTGGGTGAAAGCCAGATATCCTAACCGCTGGACGACAACGGAAGCTGTTTACTTCGTGTCGATTAAAGTTATACTACCAAAATTGTAATTTTCTCATAAATAAAGCAAAACTAATTGCGGTGAACGTGGATCGAACACGTGACCTTCAGATCTTCAGTCTGACGCTCTCCCAACTGAGCTATCCCCGCAATTGTGATTGAACTTCTTCGTGACATTATTAACGAAACTCTTTGATTATAATACAGCAAAATGGAATTCATTTGCAACACAAGCAAACTATTTCTTTTTTGGAATGCTACTAATTCTGTTACATTATAGTATCTGTTCAAATATACTTTTTCAACGTAATGAAGCATAAAGAGTCAACAAGCAAATTGTTTTAAATTGTTTACAATCCAAGAGTGTGTTAGTTTAGTTCATACCATGACATATGTTAAGGTTTGCTATGTGAGAATATCGGGAAATTGTATTGTTCACGCATTGACGAGAGTATTGAGTCCCTATTATTTCTTGTCTGTTTGAACAAGAAGCATGTCCGATAGTAATAAGTATTTATAAAAATTATCATTCAACAATTATTCATTTTGAACATATAATATATCAATTTCTTCGTTCAATAAAGAATACGAATATACGTTCATCCGACCCAAATCGGAAATGGAATCCCATATATATTTGTACCACAAAATAGCCACTCAGAATTGTTAATTTAACTAAAATTTTCAACAATGCAAACAGAATAATATCAATACTTACTAATTATTTATAAAAATTGAAATTAGTAATTTATATTGGTGTTAATCATGTCAAGGATTTCACATCTCTCACAAATTATATCGCGAATTAGGATTTAGTATGTAATTTGTTATATGAAAATACATAATATGTTAATTATATGTAATACAATATGGACTATGGTCAACATTGTTCATGGTGAATTTTGGTCCAACATATAATGATTGCATGCATCTTCCCTTTCAGGGCGTTTGGTTGGAGGGATTTTAAATTCCCTTCCCACTTAATTCCCACATAATTCCAAAGGCCATTAAATTCCGTAATTTGGTTGGATGGAATTGTAATTCCATGAAATTGCAATTCCCCCATTTTCATGGAATTAAAATCCCATGTCCCCCCTGGGATTTTAATTCCTGAGAAAAAAAGATACTGATGAGTCAAAATTACTCATTCCTTTTTTAACCTAAAATTAATGTCTAACAACAATAATGGACATTTTTTACTTTATACTACTTATTCCCTTTCAATTTCCATGTATACCAAACATTGGAATTGAAATTCCTAGTAATTCTATTCCGGTCAACCAAACACTGGAATTTAAATTCTCACTTTATTCCCAGTAATTCAACTCCCATGGAATTACAATTCCTTTCCCACATAATTCCCCCCTCCAACCAAACGCCCTGTTAGAGGTTAAAAATCAAGATTCCAAACTCAAAAAAAAAAAATACAAGTGATTGAGTAAAACATAATTGTAATATAGAAAATCATGAGTTTGATTTTTGTCAATATTCTTTCTATCAAACACATCGCATATTTTATAATATGATTTATTTTTCTTGAGAGTGACTTTGGATTTGTCTTTGTTTTAAAAAAAAATATCAAGATTTCAAATATAATAAGAAAAACAAATAACGAGAGATAAATTGAGAATGAAAATGAGTGTATATTGGGTGATAGGCAGTAACCACAATAACTGCTATCTTCATCAATGGCCACTTCCTCAGCAGCAGCAACTCTCTCATTTCTAGTCCCGTACAATACTATCAAAACTTGCAATGTTTACTCTCCAAAATGTTTCATTGCCTTCTCAAACCCTAAATTTTCGACGCCCAATTCTTTGATAATTCGCCGTTTGGCTTCTTGCAATTCCAGGATACCCACTCGCCCTCTCTGCAGCTCTCTCCCCACTGTCTTCACAAACACGACCGATTATGAGGTATGCATATCTACTCTCTTGGTTCCAAATTATAGTCTGGGTTTTTGCTTATTCATTCATTTGTTCCACCAAAACCTTATCCGCTTTCCGTTCTGGGGAGTGGAACTTGTGATTCCAATTCTAGAAAATAAAGAATATGAGTTTTATTTAATTTAAATGCAAAATTTTGTGCTTCTTAGAATCTTAGCTTAGGATTGGGGTTCAGTTAATGAGTTTTAATTAAATGGTGACGTTTGGTAAAGCTTACTATTTATTGGTGTAAATAAGCTAGAATGTGTTTACTAATTACCCAAATTGTGTTTTCCCTACTAAAATCACTACATAAAAGTGCCACTACCACTTCATGAATATGAGACTTAACAATAAAAACTCTTTATGACTATCCATAATCTGTTTTCTTTACCAAACATATAAAATAGTAGATTGTTTAATCTATAATAATCTCAATAATCAAATTAAATACTTTAATGTACTCCCCTATGATTGTGGTGTTCTTGTGACAAACTTTACAAATCATATATTTAGAAGCTATTGCTCTAAGTTTCTCACTGGTAAAGAATGCAGCTTTTATCTTTTTCCTTTTCCATATCTTGAGCTCCTGAAATCCTTGAACTTAAAGCTTTAAAGCTAATAGTAGAAATAAGTTTGATGTGGGGGTGGTGGGTTGTAATTGGAGGATATTTTCATTAGAATGATAAGGATACTTAAATGGTATGGGCCTTGCCAAGGACCTTGTGGTCCAATGTCACCAAGTTGCTCCCTTATACTGCATTGTAATAGAGTCAGTAGTATTCAAAAAAAAAAATAAAATGGTATGGGCCTTCCATTTTTATTTTTATCTGAATTTTCTTTCAGTTCCTAAATGATATTTGAAAATTATTTGACTGGTTGGCATTATCATATTGATGTCAAATGGCTGTAAATTGCAGTTTAATGATAGTGGTTCGTCTGAGATGGAGTTGCGATTAGATCTTGGTAACGGAGACATAAGTTCTAATGATATATCTGTTGATGCAAATGAGAGTTCTTTATCTATTAGAATGCTGCAATATGGATCTCTTCAGACTCTCATGGAGACCAGTGCTCTGTATGGGAAGATAAAGCCTACAGAGACAATATGGTATGCATGGTTTATAATTTATCGTTTTCTTATTTAGTTTGGCAATTATATATTTCTTCTAACTGTTTGGTTTACTCAGGTATATAGATGATGATCAATTGGTTATTAACCTGAAGAAACAAGATCCAGAACTGAAATGGCCTGACATTGTGGAGTCCTGGGAATCCCTAACAACAGGAATTAAGCAACTTCTGAAAGGAACATCAATATACTTAGTTGGAGAATCAACAGAAATCAATCAGACAATTGCTCGAGAACTTGCAGTTGGTCTTGGGTATGTGCCTCTCTTCCTTTTGGATATAGCTGTATAGTTGTCTATTCATACTTGGGCAGTTTTGGACATGAATATATGGACACACCAGATGTGCTTTTGCATAGTTATGTGGTTCATCCAAGCTCTTTTATTTTAGTGTTTTTTTTTTTTTTTTTTTTTTTTTAACTCAAGTCTCTCTCTATAAAAGTTGTCGGCTGCAATGGTTTGGTACTTTGGTTGTCAGGTATACTCCACTCTCTACAATGGAACTTTTGGAAACTTATGTCAAGGAATCCATTGATTCATGTGAGTTATATGTAAAGCTTTTGTCTTACCAACCTCTGTAGCAATTCAATACCGCTTTTTACTCATTGTGTTGAATTTTTTACGTTATATGAGCTTAATTATCTCAGCTATTATTTAGAGTTTATATCTGAAAGATCCTTTAGATACATCATAAGCAATTATTCAAAGAACCATGCCTTCTAGCATACGATATGAAATATAACAGTGCTGCTCATGCTCCCAACTATATGCACCACATTTTGCAGTGCATTAACAAATGTAATCAATTTAGGGGCAAGTAGGGAGGGCTCAGATAACGTGGCAGAGTCAGAGAGTGCCATATTTGAAAGCCTCAGTAGGTACTTACTGTTCCCTGGATACCCTATTCATAATCACTCTTTAATGTTGAGAAGTATAGGCATCTTATTTGAAACTTCATGTTCCAGTCATGCCCGTGCTGTAATTGCGACATTAGGAGAGAAGCATGGTGCTGCTAGAAGAGCCAACAAATGGAGGCATCTTTTTGCAGGATTCACAGTTTGGCTATCTCAATCTGAAGCTACTGGTAACAACGTTTTCTCCTCTTCCGATTAAGCAACTAAACATCCATTGTTTCTCTACAATGCTAATTGCCACTTTTCTTATTTCTTTAATTTCAATCTATCTTAATATTTCAATTCCTACTAGATTATCCAGAATTTATACTTGATCTTGATGAAAATATGTACTGTGTATGATATGGCATGTAATTAGATGTGTCAATCACTTAATCTCAATCAGACAATCAGTAGAGAAAAAACAAAGAAGTTTGGCACGTGTGCTTCGCCGGCCGGCCCGCCAAATTTCTAGCGCCCCATCAGCAATTATACTGTCCACAAAGCTTTGTGGACCATGGTCCAAAACGGCAGACTATATTGTATCTAAACTGACATTGTCTCACGTATTTATTTTTATTATATTATCAAATGAAACTGCAATTGAATTGAAATGAAATTGTAGTTGTGTTGAAATGAAACTGCAGTGTATACAAAATGAAACTGAATAACAATTTCACATACTTGAGTGTATATTGTCCAGCGAAACTGTAGTTATATCAAAATGATACTGTAGTTGTGTTGAAATGAAACTGCAGTGCATATTTGATGCCTGGACCACAATGTATTGTGGACCGCAGTCCACAGTATAATTTGCCGCGCCCCATGGGGTAGGCAAATGGAGCAGGCCAGCCCGCATTGACACTCCTAATTGTACTAAGCAACCAAAGTTCCTTTGTGTATTTTGCAGTATCTGGTTCATTTGACCTGTTAACTGAGAAAAAGGACCATTGCTTGTAAAGAAGCTTGGATTTTCACCAGTGGGTTGGTTTGACAGATAACTTGCAGCTGCAAATAGAAATTGTGGCTTGCCAGTCCCCACTCATCTTGAACATGACTGATCAAGAAGACCTCACTCCCTTGTTATACTAAATCCAGTTTTTATTTGGTTTTCGTGAACTTCAATTTCAGACGAAGATACAGCAAAAGAGGAAGCCAGAATGCAGATGCAAGATGATCTTCAAGGTTACTCTAATGCTGAGGTAGTAGTTAAGCTTGCAGGTTGGGACCCCACTTACTCCAAGAAAGTTGCTCAGGCTTCACTTAGTGCCCTAAAACAATTAATTTTGTCAGATAAAAACCTTACAGGTACTCTGGCCTTTCTAGTCCTTGCTCCGACTTCATGGTGCAACTTCAAAATTCTCAGTCAGTCAGTTTTGATAGTCTGCAACTCCATATGGCACCGTTTGATTTCCTGTTTTCTTTTGTTGCAGGTAAAAAGAGTTTATACGTAAGATTAGGGTGTCGAGGTGACTGGCCGGATATCAAACCTCCAGGGTGGGATCCATCAAATCCTGATGTATCTTCTGCATTGTAGTACAAGGCTTTTTGCCAGTTTTATGGGATTTTGTTGTCATAAACAGCAAGTTTTGTTGACCAAAGTTCACAATTTGCTAAGATTGGAATCTAGATGTGCAAAACCAGCTATTTCTGCTATCATATATGAATTTTATACATTGATTCCCTACCCATTTTGGGCAAATTCTGCTATTTCTGGAAAATAAATCTATCATAGACTCAAAGTTTATCAATAGCAAACTAACTTGGTTGGCGTGAGTGGCCGCACACTCTCATCCCTTAAGAGAGGTCGAAAGTTCAAACTCTCTCTCATATGAAAAAACTAACCTGACCAACACTTTGCTCCTTAATCAGGCCGCTCCAATTCGAGCGAGGATTAGTTTGAATATGATATACGCTTAAAGGTGCTTCATACATTTAGAGTCTTCTTATGACAAAAAAAAAAAAAAAAAAAAAAAAAAAAGAAGCTTAGCAATAGCCAATAGCACAATAATAGTGATAGGATGAGATTATTTGTTAAAAAAAAATACGGAAGACATTTTATTCCTTAATTATAGCCATAAGGAAGTACTTATACCCGTAAATAGTACAAGAGAAGTAAACCACAATTCGTGCCCTTTTAGTATTAGAATCATGTTACGTTCCCCGTTTATTCTTCTCAAAAGCTTATTATTTTTTTATTTAATTATTTTGTAATGTTAAGTTTCAACTGAATTTTTAATTTCTTTTTAAATAATTTGTGAATTTTTTCCTACCAAGAATTACGACAAATTATGCTATAGACCATGATTTACATTGCAATGTGAATATGGATAAACGTCCATTATTAGTATACTGAATATTTTTTTTTAATGGTTGGAGGGGGGAAACCCAAAACTAGCTATCTATTATGACGACTTGGGGTACAGGTACACCCATCAAATCATCGTTCAAAAGCTCGAGAACGTCATCTCCGATTGAGTTAGTAAATGTATGCCCCTATTAAATTTTAGCGCTTTCTTTGCCAATAAATCAGCCACTTTGTTATGTTCTCTATAAACATGAGCTACCTTGATTTGTCATTGTTTTGCCATCCATCGGTTGCATTCACTAATAACATTGCCACCATATTAGTGGGGGAGTCCTCACGCTCATGAATGTTGAATATTAATTTTTAATATACTGAAAGTTTATATTTTGATAATATACTTAAAAATAAACATTAAATAAACTTCAAGGTCCATGGTATAACCGTATAATGATAAAATAATTTCTGTAATTTTAAATACACTATCTAGAATTTGAGTATTGGAATATTATGTAACTTTATATTACAATTACAACAAGAATATTATTATTATTATTATTTTAAAAAATCCTTTATCGCGAAACGGCAAACGGCTTCTATTCTTCTATATAATCATTTTCGTTAAACCCTTGCGTGGAGACTGGAGAGGCTTTAGGCGCCATATAGGAGGGGTTCATCGGAGCTTCAACTGAGAGTTCACAGCTAGAACGCGCGAAAATGGGCAAAGGCGGAAATGATTTGTGGGACGATTCTGCGCTTATCAGTGCCTTCAATGACGCTATCTCCAAATACAAGGTACAAAAATCTCCTCTTCTCTCAAGAACCCTAGCAATCACTATTACTCTCAACACTCTCTGTCGCGATACATACAAAAAGAAGTGTGCGTACATATATGTTAACTTTTGAATAGGAAGTTCGTGGGAGGAGGCTTTAGAGCTCTGGTTTCTAAGAGGAATGAAAGAAGCAACTCCAGTTTCTTGCCTCGTTTAATCAATGCCCATTTCAAGATTTATCTTGATTCTTGTCTGGTTAATTCACGGGTTGTCTGCGTTCTGAATGTAGTTTCCGTGGAAAACAGATACATAGATTGATTTTGTACTAATGGATATAATAAAGTTGTCTAAACAGTTCCAATTAAGTAAAGAAATACAGAGAAATGATCAACTGCTGATTGAATGGTCCTTCTGCAGCCATTTCCACTCATAGGCTGCGATTTTATTGTGAATCTTTTTTTTTTTTTTTTTTTTTTTTTTTTTTTTTTGCATTGAATTGCATATGGTTGGAACTAAGAAGTTAGATGGGCCTAGCAGAGAGGGTGCTATATGCCAGAGTTGAATCAAGTGATTTTTACTTCCTGCTTTTATTTGCTCATTCTTGATCATCGTTCTTTTCTCTTCCACAGTTGCTTCAATTCCTCTAAACTTTCTTGACTTTTCTAGTATCTTGAATTTTCTTGTTGCCTAGCTCTTAGTCTTCTTAATTCAGTCATGAACTTTAAGTTACAAACATTATTGCTCTTGCATCGATATATGCTATATTTTTTGCTCAGCATTCCAATATGCCATGTTGTTGCCTTGTTGGCATATCAAAAAGTAATTGCTACTTGTTAGCATAAAACAGTTGGAATCAATTAGTTGTTCTTAGCTATTTAATATATTTGCATTTCTTTTCTTATATTCCCTTTTGCTTAAGTGTTCACCTGTGTTGTATTCTCTCATATGTTTTCCAGGTCAAGCATAACCAAGCTGGTGGGGTTGGTAGTGCACCAGTGAATTCATCTGCTGTGGAAGATGAAAGCAACGAAGCAAGAAGGTCCCTTCATAATTTGAACAAAATGATTTGCATGTTGATCTTTGCTTGATATCTTGCCATTCTTTATTGAATGGTTAAGATGAATACTTGAGACTCAGTAGTTAGCATACCATTAACTGAAAACTAAAATACTAAATGCAGTATCCAAGGAGCAGTTCACATGGCATAATGGGGCAGTAGTTGGTGATATGCATTTTAAAACCTGAGTTTGTGGACCAAGAGTGGGCCACCTTTTTGTTGAATTTTCTATAACAGATTAAATATAGAAGATTGGAAAGAAATTTTGTTGTATAACTTCACCTATACTATGTAAATATGGTGACACAAGCTAGCTCATAATGTCAAATGCTTAAACTAAATATACTGTTTTTAAAAAAAAAAATAATAATAAATACTACTTTTCTTGATTGTTTGCTGTATTGTTACAGACACGAGCAGGCAGACGATGACAGCAAAGCTTTATCAACTAAGACGATAGAAATGGCGGAAACTAGTACTGTTTCACCTGTAAAACAAAATTATTGTGCAGAGGCAAGTGGTCTTGAGCAGTCCCAGGATAAACCCACAAGCTTTGTAAACTCTCAAAGTGTAGAAGATTACAACGTCTTGCTGAACAAATATTATGAAGTTGAGGATCAGAGGCAAAAAGCCTTGCAGCAACTTTACCAATTTTGTGGATGGAGTTATGAGTACCCTGGTCATAGTACCTTAACCTCTCAAGAGCATCAGACTTATGCAGCGCCTACTTCTAACTCTACGCCCACCGCTTTTTACTGCCCATATGGATGCCAGAGTTCGGTGACTCCATCACCTTCTTGTTGTGTGGATGGAAATTGCATTAATAAAAACTTTGATGCTGCTGGAAGCAGTCATGATCAGAGTTCCACATCTCTTCAACAGCCTGATGTTGTTAAAACAGCATTGGATGCCGCAGAGAAAGCACTTTCTTCCTTGGGACATGATTTAGGTATGTTTAATGCTTTTGCAAAGGAACAACCTGCATGTATAGTGGTTTATTAGTAGTATGTGTTGTTCTCAAAGCTTCCTCAAATCAGGTAATGAAGAGGGAGGATATAAAACTCTTAAGATTAATTATATCACTCCTTTCCTACAGGCCTAGCATAGTCATGAATTGAAACTCCAAAAGAAAAAGAGGAGATATATCATTCTCTTTTGACTTTTTATGTTTCATTTCTTTGTCAATCACAATGTTATTTTGTTGCATATCTCTCGCCTTTTTCAATGGAAGTATTTAAAATTTTCTCTTTACTATTTTAAGAAGAATGTTCAACATTGTAGTGGCAAATCTTTGCCCTTCAGTTCCTTTTCTTTTAGTTGGGTGTCCAGGGGTTGCTATGCCAAATGCCTTATTAATATACAACTGTCAAATGCCAGTTTTCCTGAATTGAAGATCTAGAATGTTATTACCACTAGGCAATGGCAATGAACTTGAATAGAAAGTAGACTCATTTGTCCTGCAACTCTTTCATTCCTGAATATACCACATTATTATTCTGCATTCAGGGAATGATACATCACCGAATATGAGCAATGATCATGTAGAGGAAGAAACCAAGGCTGAAACAGATCTTTCGGAAGTTTTGCGTGCATGGTATTCTGCTGGGTTCTACACTGGAAAGTAAGAATCACCTAAGCTGTGCAACCTATTATAACCCATTTATATGCCGATTGATGTCTACTATATCGCTAGTTTGTAGTCAATTTATTTCCTGCATTAAGTTTGAGTATTAGTAGCTATAACAAGGCCACTGGCCTGCTCTTTTATTTCTCATGACTGCAGTAGTTTATGCTTCTCCATCTTTGGTTTGTGATTAATGTTGCATGAGCAGTAGAATTTACTTGACCTCACTCTAGGGGTCCTCAAGCTTACCAATTTAGCAGATTTCATTGGCAATGACTTAATAGTTAATAGTAGAGTTAGGAACTGTCGTGCATATTTGTAACTAAAGCGAATTCCTTATTATGACATAGGTATCTCTCTGAGCAATCTTCTGCAAGGAAACAGCATGACTAGCCCTTTCCGGGGGGTTGTTGGTAAACCTTGCTGATGGACGTGCATTGCTGGATTTTTGTGATTAGCAGTATATCCATGAGAAATCAAATCTGTGCTGTAAACACTGATATGGAGTCATGGAGAGCACAAGATTCGACTTGAATTCTTCACAAATCATTGGGAGTGAATTGGCTGCTTCATCCTTATTAGTCTTGAATTTCCTATGTACTTTATTTTGATCGCACTTTTTGGCCTGTTTGTGTTTGGCCTTCTTTGGTACCTGAACCTTTCGTGTAAAGTGTATACACCGTACTAAAAATTTTAAAAGGGAAGGCTAACGAGGAATCATTTTCGCAAGTGCCGTGGGTTTGGTTAGGATATATAAGTTTATAAATTTGCGTGTTTGGGAGTATTTTTAAAAATAATACAAATAATTGCCCACGCAGGTCTCGAACCTGCGACCAAAAAGGGATATATAAGTTTATAAAATTGCATTTTTTTTAAAAAAAAAAGTGTTTATAAAATTGCGTTTGGGGAGTTTAAAAATGACGTAAAATAGTGGCCCATGCAGGTCTCGAACCTGCGACCTTCGCGTTATTAGCACGACGCTCTAACCAACTGAGCTAATAGGCCTTGCTGATTTGTTATTACTGAAAATATATTTATTATATAATTATTATTAGTCCTCACTCCTCAGTCAATAGCGAGGGTTTTTAGACTTGAGTCTGCGGAACTCAGTCTATTTGGTCCATAGAGATCGTAGTGAGAGAGAGAGAGAGAGACTGCAGAAGAAGAGAGATGGCGAGATCGTCGACAGGTAAAGATGCTCAAGCACTCTTCCACTCTCTGCGCTCTGCGTATGCCGCCACTCCTACTAACCTCAAGGTACACCCCGACCGCTTTTATCTTCTGTCTATCTAAGTGTTTGCGTTTGTATTTCCTTGTGTGTATATAGCTGAACCAGCAATGATTTCTTTCTTCTCTTTTATTTTTTTTCAGATCATTGATCTGTATGTCATGTTTGCCCTCTTCACTGCTGTAATTCAGGTAATTTCTGCATTTTCCGCTCAAGTTATACCCATTTTGTGCTTTTCCGTACACTAATCTTATAGTATAGATCTGCTAATTCGCCCTTTTTTGGGGCTGATGTGATCCCTTTTCCGGTATAATTATCCGATTAACATGATGTTATTATAAACTTCGAGTCAACCTCCAAATGTTGGATGGTCAATTTGAAGAGTTCTGTGCAATTTGGGTAAAATGGATGTTCCTATTAATGTGATCTCTTGAAATTGGGTGTGAATTTTAATTGTTGCTAAGATATGGTCACATATTACATGGTGACAATAGCCATCATTTCGAGTTTGAGTGTGCTTAGTGTTCCAAATGAAATGAGGAGAAAAATGAATTTTCTGAGGGCTAGTAATCTGCAAGAGCAAGACATGACCATTAAATAGTCTACACTTTTGGTCTCACTTCGTGTTTTCTTGTGTGTTCTGGAACTTGGTTATCTACAAGAATCCACCACTTGACAGTCAATGAGTTACCATATTTGCAACATTATGATTTCAAGTAATGGAGATGACATTTAATTTTATTTCTCACTCACAAGTAGAACAGCTTCATAGATATTATGCCCTTCTTAGATATATCACTAGGATGGGTTGGTGTAATTGGGCATTGGTCTAAACAGCAGTTTATTATCAGCTTTAGCTTCTTCTTAGAGTCTGTTCTATTGATAAAGCATCAATTTATTTAGAATCTTGAGTAACAGCTGTGTAAACAGTGGATTTTCTGCCATTTTCATGAATTACTCTAAATGATAATGGATATTTTGTACCAAATACTGTCTCAGACTCGGTAAGACTGATGCACTGTTTAAAGAGCTTTGATTATTATCCTTTCACTGGTTGTCTATACATCACTGCAACTACTTTCACAAATTTCTTACTTTTGTGATTATCAGATTGAGCTATCATGCCTATATATTGTTTTGACTGGGATTATTCATTTCCTTGTTCCCATATATTTGTAATTTGTTTTATTTCTCTTATAACTAGGTGGTGTACATGGCCATTGTTGGATCATTTCCATTCAATTCCTTTCTCTCAGGGGTACTTTCTTGTATAGGGACAGCAGTCCTAGCTGGTGAGCACAATTATCTACTCTCTGCATATCTTGTGTTAATAATTAGAGTAATTTTTTTTTTTTTTTTTTAACTGACTGAATGGAGTCTTTGTTCGCAGTTTGTCTTAGAATCCAAGTAAACAAAGAGAACAAGGAGTTTAAGGTAAGCATTCTCTTTGGACTCCTTCCCCTGCTATGCAATGAAAGGGGAAACTGGGATGTCATTTTCATATGAATTGCTTCTAATCTCACAAACCTAACTATGAAGTAAAGTCGGAGAACTTGTATTTTCTAGCACTGAGTATCTAAGTTTAGTGTATAATTAACCATTTAACCCTAAACCCTAAAATCTGGAATGCGTACTGGTATGATAAGCCAACAATTATTTCTCTTTCAAATTTCTGATTCATGATGTTGGTTGATTCTCATTGCTTTATATGTTTGTTTCTATTTCAGGATTTGCCTCCAGAACGAGCTTATGCAGATTTTGTTCTCTGCAATCTGGTGCTCCATTTGGTGATCATCAACTTCCTTGGATAAAACCGAGGCTTCTATAATTTACTGATTACTGCTTTCTGCAAAGCGGTGGTTATATGTCATTAGAACAATTGAGGCATTGACGTAGACATGTTGAGACTTGCTTCTTATACATTCGCCTTCTGGGACTGTATTTTCGTTGATTTTGTAGAAATTTTATTTGCCTATTGAGTTAAAGAGAACACAGATAAATATTTTGCTTTTCCACTAGCCCTAAGCCCCTAAATATGCTAGTTGTTCTGGAATTGGTTTGTGGTCTTGAGCTTAATGCGCTATAGAAATGTAGTCTATTTCAATCATTGTTGAAAAAATTGCTAGGCATTCTTCGGGCGCTCGGAGAGCGCCTAGCACCTAGGTGGTTGATTAATTGGTGTAGATATGTGCTTGTCTATTTTTATTTTATTTTTTATTTTTTAAAATCGCTAAGCATTCTTCGGGCGCTCTCCGAGCGCCTGCACCTAGGTGGTTGATTAATTGGCGTAGATATGTGCTTGTCTATTTTTTTTTATTTTTTATTTTTTAAAAATTTATTTAAAATTTTAAGACTTGATAATTATAAACTATTTAATACTCTAATAGTTAATACTAATATATTAAATATTAACTTCAAAAAATCTAGAGTTTGAATAATTTTGGGTTATTTCGTTTAAAACGATGTTGTTTTGATGAAATCATTCTTTTAAAAAATAAGGGAATAATAGCCAATCAGCTGACTAGGTGATTTAGTCGGTGCCTAAGTGGTAGCACCTTAGTGGTGAATTGTCTCAACCACTGATCATGGTGATACATGTCAACCGCCTCAACCAATGAGCAACACTGATTTTAATAAATCAATAATTACTCATACCTTCCTGAGCTTCTAAAATTAAGCATTTTCATGAACCTTGAAAATTGTAACAATACTAAAGATTTATGAGAAAACAGTCAAATACACCCTCTAATTTTATGTAAGATGTCAATTAGATTTTCGAACTTTTTCTTGGTAGTGACTTGCAATAGCAGGTTGATAATGCATCGAACGGCAAAATTCTGACGAAGTTGCCGGAAACAAACTAGTCGCCATCTCCATCAACAGAGGAGCCCGAAAAAGGCAACCAAATTGGTCGCCGTCTCCGTCGACCACCGTTTCCGTCGATTGGAGAAGCGACCAAACCGGTCGCCTTCTTTGCCGTTGGAGATGGGCCTAATTGCAACTTTAATCGCTATTAAGATTTTGGATTTTGATGCACTAAATTAATATATTAATGTCTCTATTGCAACTTTCAAAAGTTCAAGTGTCTAATTGACTTCTTATGTAAAATTGAATGGTGTATTTGACCATTTCCCCAAGATTGATTAAATTTATAACATATAATATAAAAATTTGGTGTTACTTCTTTTTTTTTTTTTTTTTTTTTTTTTTTTTTTTTTTTTAATGTATGTATGATTTTCTCCATTATATTATATATTTGAAGGGCTGTTTGGTTAGCCATTTTGAGACTTTCCCATTCCCTCCTGGTCTTAAACCCTTCCTCCCTCAGAGAGTCAAAGCCTGGGTTTTACTAGGGTTTTAGTCTCTCTCTAAACATGGGTAGCCTTCTTCTGAGGAAGTCTTCTTCATCGCTACCCTCAAAGAAGCTCTCCCTTGTTGCTCTTTCCCGTCTCTTCTCTCCAACGTCGTCGACCTCTGAAGCCGTCATTTCCAGAAATGGCTGCTCGATCCCCCAATTTCACAATTTCGCCACTGCGTCTAACTTCCCAGCCTTCGGGAGTTCTTCGGCTGCGGCGACGGCGCCACCGCCTTCTCCGAGGCAAATAGTGAGGGGCTTACACATCTCCCGCCCGTTGGCCGCTGGAGTGGCCGTGGCTCGTTTGCCGGAGGAGGATGAAGGGCTTGAGATCTCGAAGCTCGGCATCTCCCAAGAAGTCGTCTCTGCATTGGCACGGAGGGGAATAACTCAGCTTTTTCCTATTCAGGTCTTCAATACAAAACCCAAAAACTTGGAGATATTCTTTTCTGTTTACAGTTATAAGTTTATAATTTTAATGGAAAATTTATAAATTTTGCTTGAAATGTGTGTACCTTATTATTATTATTTTTATGACTAATTGTTTTCTCTTACATTTCTATCATCACTTGGTTATGAAATCAATTTTCATTTCCAAAGAGATTCATATTGATTAGCTGATTGGAATATTCTTTTGATTTATTATTTTTGTAGAGAGCAGTTTTGGAACCAGCAATGCAGGGAATTGACATGATAGGTCGAGCTAGGACGGGAACAGGGAAAACTCTTGCTTTTGGAATTCCAATCATGGATAAGATCATTCGTTACAATGAGAAGCATGGGTTTGTTAATTTTCTTTTCATTGTTCAATTCAATAATTTGGCATATATGACAGTGTATACCCTAAGTTAGGCACGTTGATGGGGTATCTATACTGTATATTTCTTTTGTCCCTTGTTATGCCTCTTGTTAACAATCATGAGATTTATTCTAACTTCTGCTTGGCTATTCTCAAATATGCAGGAAGGGGAGGAACCCTTTAGCATTGATAATGGCGCCTACAAGAGAACTTGCTAAACAAGTTGATAAGGAATTTTATGAGTCTGCTCCTAATTTGGATACATTGTGTGTTTATGGAGGTGTTCCCATCGGAAAACAAATGGGTGCACTAGATAGGGGTGTTGACATAGTTGTTGGGACACCTGGTCGGATTATTGATCTGCTTAAGAGGGGCTCATTGGATTTATCAGAACTGCAGTTTGTTGTTCTAGATGAAGCTGACCAGATGCTTAATGTTGGCTTTGCGGAGGATGTTGAAAGAATTTTACAAAATGCACCAAAGAATCGTCACACAATGATGTTTTCAGCTACAATGCCTGGTTGGATTTTGAAACTTACCCAGCAGTTCCTAAAAAATCCAGTTGAGATTGATCTTGTGAGTATGAGGTCCTTTAAATACAACAGTATATCCTTATTTCAAACTTGTAAGTTCATTAAATTCTTGGAGGTATACTATCTCACTTATTTGTCCGATGTATTCTTTTGCTGCAGGTTGGAAATTCTGATCAGAAACTAGCTGATGGAATTTCCTTGTATTCTATTGCTTGTGAGATGCACCAGAAACCTGCAGTTCTTGGCCCTCTTATAACAGTATGTTTCTATTATTACATTTCCCTGCATTTTAGATATGATAATTTATTCAGATATATTTTGTTATACTGCTGTTTTGAAATTTACATGGCTGTAAATCCTGGCCATTTATTCTGCTTCACTCACACATGAAAAAGGTTGGGTATAATGCCTAAATTCCTCACATCATGCATGGTGTTAGTTGAGGAGATCTACAGCACACATGCACACCAATAAAATCACTGTGGCCTTTGAACTTTCTACTTCTAAATCTTTGACTGATGAGAACATTCCCTTGTATTCTTAGGAACATGCAAAAGGAGGGAAGTGTATTGTTTTCACTCAAACAAAACGTGATGCTGATAGGTTGGCATGTGCCATGCAAAGAAACTTCAAATGTGAAGCTTTGCATGGGGATATCTCACAAAACCAGAGGGAGAGAACACTATCAGGTTTCAGAGAAGGTCACTTTAATGTATTGGTGGCCACAGATGTTGCTGCCCGAGGTCTTGATGTCCCTAATGTGGATCTGGTTAGTCTTTTAAATGGGAGTTGATATCCTAAGTGGTGTTTCAGTTGATGCCAAAGATTTTGAATTGCAGTCACTTTTGTTTTTCATCTGTTAATGGGAGCTATCCTAAATGCTTTTGTTTCTTAGGTGATACATTATGAACTTGCAAACTCTTCAGAGATCTTTGTTCATCGATCTGGCCGAACAGGACGTGCAGGCAAGAAAGGAAGTGCAATCCTCATGTATTCAAATCAGCAAGCGAGAGATGTTAAAGGTATTGAGCGCGAAGTGGGATGCAAATTTATTGAGGTAAGAATACGAACTTTGATTTTTTATTATTATTATTATTATTATTATTATTATTATTATTATTGCAAGGAGAAACTTCCTTGATAATGTATTAATGTTACACATGTTTGTTTGCGTGCATGAGCTGTGTATGTGATGTATACCTATTTATTTGGAAGCCTTTGGTTGTTACTTTTTGCTGTGTGGTTTGGTAGTCTACTAGTGTGAAACTTTGAATAGTAATTTATGGTAACTTGAAATGCTGGTAATCACTGGGTAATATCTAATAGCTTGTCCTTTGCATGTTTTATTAATTTCATTAGTTAAACTTTTAATTGTTTTTGATGGGTTAGTCTCAAGCATTGATGCCTGCAAAGCAAGGTATGTGTTGTGTTTATCTTTTAAGTTAGCTTATAAACTTGTGTGATTTTGAGTAAAGATTTCTTTAATTTGATTATTGTGATTATACATTAAACAGTTACTTTCTGTGTTTGCCAAATGGGAACATTTCTGCTTATTTTGACTAGTAAAACCAAGGATTAAAGTAGGGAGTTTTTTTATTTTATTTTATTTATTTATTTTATCTACTTGATATCGCAACTTTATTAATAATACTTAAATCCCTTGGTTAATAAAAGCTCCCAAGGATTGAAGTAGATGCTGGAGCAGCAAACATGTTCAGTGACATTGGACTAGGCAATAGTCGTTTTGGCTCTAATGGAGGCTTTGGAAGTGGTCGCTCTGGTGGTGGCCGCTTTGGTGGCAGCTCCCAAGGGTCATCATATGGTCAAGTGGGTGGGTTTGGCAGATCTGGTTTTGGACAATCAGGCAGTGGATATGGTGGAGGCCGTTCTGGAAATTTTGGAAGCCGCAATTCTGGTGGGTTTGAAGGCATGAGCAGCTCAAATCGTTCAGGTGGGTTTGGGAATTCCAGTGGTCCAGCCAATCGGGCGGGTGGATTTGGTTCAAGTCGCCCTAGTGGATTTGGTGGCTTTGGAGGCTTTGGAGACAACAAGGACAGCAACCATCAAAGCTATGGGAGGAAACCTTTTTGACCTTATTCCCTGGTAAATTTCATTTCAAGATGCCTTTTTTTTTTTTTTTTCCCAGAGTAGAGTACATGATTGTTTTGTGTTGTTAAACAGATGAACATAACACTATGTGGAGGGACAAATTTCCTTGATACGTTTCAGTCGACACAGAAAAGTTCCTAGTATTATACTCTCTTTTCTAGTCTCTACTTTCATTCAATGTGTAATAACCAATTAGGGAAGAAACCAAGCCGGTGGCTTATGTTTTTCTGATATTGAAAATGTAGTCATTTATACTTATACAATTTCATGTTTAATTTACTATAAATTGTATTATATTTCCTATACTATTATTTACTCAGTCAAAGAACTCGTGACTTTAAAGTAAAAGGTGACATGTTTAGTCACTAACTCAATTTTTTTATGCATGTTGCCCTCTGAATATCTGATTAGATTTTGCCATTGTATTGTACAGTATATATTGTGATGTTATGACTCGTGAATAGTAATTCGTAGTTGGATTTCGTTAGTTGTAGAAATTTTTATTATTAAAAATTTTAAATTATAAACTTATTTGTGCTTTCTATGAATCCAATGATCACAGCTAGTGTAGGTTTTAATCAAACAAACGTGGAACGCACTACAATCACTCAATTATAACCCAAAAAAAATAAAAATTAAAAATACTTTCGCCATTGATTCACTGAATAGGTGAGGGATTTGATTCCTATCACAAATATAAATTTGAATTAAACTTTTTGTATACAAAGGTTCAATTTGATATTGAATTTTAAAATTAAATTGACTCGATATATCTTATTTAGAAGACACGTGGGATAAAAAAAATTAATGCAGTTAGGCATAAAACCAGGCACCAAATACAGAATATAATAGGGAAAATAAAAAAAGAAAAGGAATCTGAAGTCAGCAGGCATCACAAGTAATGGTTGGCGGGTAATATACAATTGAATAACAACAAAAATTGAAATAGTTTTGAATACTTCAAAAAGAATATATGCTTTCTGTATTTTATATTCATGAAGAGTTTAGTACAAATTGATAAGATATGTCGTACCGGTATAAGATTTATTACAAATTTTTATACAAATTGTGTTATCTTTTTATAAATGCAGAAAACATTTTATTCAATATCTTATGAGATCTACTATGTTGTATGTATGTGTGTCAATACAATATGTATTCATAACAATTGTTAGGAAAATTTTATGAATATTTAGTTTTAAATATAATAATAAATACTTTATTATTATTATTATTATTGAATTCGATATTCTTATTATTACAAAACTAATTTGAATTTGACTCTAATTATCGTGAATGATGATTGCTTTGATAATAAAATATTTTTCTTTGAAAGAATATGTAGGAAACCTTAGTGGTAGTTCATAGTTGGTATGGTAAAGACAATTTACCTTCTTAATTAGAGCCAGTTAATTATGGATAATTTAGGTGAGTTATCCTATTGTGATTTTTTGCAGGATAAACTTTACCCAAAGAAAAATGTTTTGATGTAGTTGATTCGTCGCCTGACTTAAAAATCATGACAGAAAACAGTAGTGTAGAGGTTCGAATTCCATTGAAAACATGTATGTGAAGTTCTAGGGGCAAAATTCTGAAGGCTAAGGACCAACTAAATAAAATGATATTGAATAGTCAAAACATTTTCATTGATGAAAATAATAATTTATTAGTTTTTTTTTTTTTTTTTTTTTTTTAAATTGAGGCAATAAAAAATTGTAAAAATCAAACGGGTATTTAGCATTACTCTTATCCAAAATATGTATTCAGTTATCATCTATTAATTTCCTCGTAAATCAAAGATAAGAATATGTACGTGGTGACTCAACTTAAAATATGAGCTTAAATAAAAACCTTAAAATCTGAAAAACGATTTAAAATTTGAAAAAAATACCGAGTGAAAAAGGTATTTTTAAGAACAAACTTGAACTTTTTCTTGTATACATCATTGTTACTTTGTGAGGTAGGTACTAGGTAAAAGCAGAAGGGGAACTTTAGAATTTATTTCACTTTGGGAGAATCAAAATCCCATTTTTCTCGTCTTGCAATAAAGCGAACCAAATCTCAATGTTATTATGATCTGTGGATCATTCTACTTAACGCTCTCCAAGTTATTATGATCTGTGGATCATTCTACTTAACGCTGGGATCTGCAGTTTTTTGCTGTAGAAACAAGAATGCATCAACCACCTGAAATAGAAGTAGTTCAGGTAACTCTCTTTATATATGTGCTTAAATTCTTGCTTGGAGGTTATTGAAGTTGAGGTTGAGCTTTTAGCTGTGAGCTGTCCAAACATATATTTGAAAAAGCTTTTATTGTGGATTTATGTACTATGATTTTTGATGGGTAGAAAAGGGCAGTGGTTGAAATTAGTAAAGATTGGAACTTTTCGGTCGCTGGGACCAAAGGACTGAATTTAGGTGATTTGAGAGGACTTTCTAATCTGCAGATTTTGTTTTTCAGCTGAACCCTCAACCATTAAGGGGGAATTAAATAATTAAAAAAAAAAGTTGAATGGTTATTTTCTTTGGTACATCATTTTTGCGAAAGCATAGTCAAGATTGGTTTAGTTTTTAGTTTCCTCCACAATCCTGTTGGGCCGCGGTGTGGAGAGATTTCGCCTTTTGTGGGCAAGATTGGTTTAGTTTACTTAGCTACTTTCAGTTTTAGTGAGTTGACTGGGTGAGAGGTAATAAGAATGACAGGAGAGAATTCAGAAAAGAGGAACTGAAGGATGATGAGAAAGTCAAAGATTTTGTTTAATTGGTCTGTTTTTATAGAAAATCTGTTAGAAGCTGAGAAGAAAAAGTAAAGAAAGATAAACAAATGCTAGTACACAGCTGAAACATAGGGCACATGAAACATTGCCTTTTTGGTCTCATCTTTCTCAGTAGCTATAAATAATAGTACTGAGGTAGCTCTATCTTAGGTGGGTTTGTGGGGTGGAGCTTTTATTGGATATTGCTCTTCTTTGCTCTTACTATAGGTTTTGAATCGGTAAAAATTGACTTGTGTATCAAGCTTTTTGGTAGAGAAATGAATTTGTTCGCTATTTATTATGTATGGATTTGTGTCATATTTTACTTATATCCCATCCATGAAATCAGAAAGAGGAGAGAGAGGAAACGACCTTAATCCAGCAGCAGTCAAGGCGGCCAAATCTCTCCTCTCTGCAAATACCTGCAAGGTCTTCAGAGTGTGATTTAACCAGTTTTACCAGAATAGATGTGCCCAGTCCTGGCTCTGCTCGAGCAGGATTGCCCCCGAGACCAAACTCAGCAAGGCTGATATCATCGGTTAAGAATTTGATTCCACAGAAGAGTTTTAGGGCAAAAAATTTACCACCAGATGCTGAAAAGACAGTTCTCATTGTCCCAGAGACACCACTTTCAGATAAACCTTCAACTTCAAGGTCATTTTCTCTGAATAAAATTTTGTTCTCTTCATCAACAAAACCAGCTCATTCATTACCCGTGACACCAAAGGAGAGTGCTGCCCCCAAGCCCTTTGAGGATAGTCAATTGGATGATCATTCAGAATTACCGGTAAGTTCATTTCCATTTACTGCTGATTGGCCCACCCAATCTTTTGTGCTATTCCTCTAACTCTATATTTTCTTCTTCTTTTTTTTTTTTGATAGATATTTGAAGTCCAACATATACCACGTTCATTCTCAGTCCCTGCCAATGTTAAAAATAAAAGCTTAAAGAGGATTGATTCTTCTGGAAATTTGATCCGTGTAATATCTTCATCCGCCAGGCGAAATGCAGATAGTGATGCATTACCAGACACAACACAAGAAATAGAAAATGGTATGTATGTATGCTTCTCTATTAGTATTGCATGCATTGCTTGCTCAATTTAAAATTCACATGACTTTGTGTTTGAGGTTATTTCTTTTACTATCACATAGCTATTTATTTATATATATATATATATATATATATATATATATATATATTGAGTGTTACTGACTCTGTTACAATGCAATATCTGTTCATAACTACTTTCTCAACCTACTGAAGCACAAAGAGTCAATAGCGCCTCCACTGAGGCTCGAATCCACAACCTCCTATATGAGAGTGCAACTTGGTGCCACTAGACCACAAGGTCTTGGCGCCATTTATATCTAATCAGTAACAAGGACACTGAAATTACGGTGTACCTCTTGTGGTCACTTCATTGATTCCTAATTAGAGTTTGATGGTTTAATTTACACTCCACCGTCAGCTGCTACTGATGATAACAGCGAAGACATTCCAGAGGAAGAGGCTATTTGCAGAATTTGTTTTGTTGAGCTCGGGGAAGGAGGTGAAGCGTTTAAAATGGAGTGCAGCTGCAAAGGAGAGCTTGCGCTTGTTCACAAGGAGTGTATCTTGAAGTGGTTCAGTATCAAAGGCAATAAGTTATGTGATGTTTGCAAGCAGGAAGTTCGAAACCTCCCTGTAACATTGCTAAAGATACAGAATCCTTCGACTGCTGTACGGAGGCCAACAACTGGATCACAACAGCGGGAACCTACTCGTTACAGGCAAGTTTAGTTGCTTTATTTGCATGGTTTTCTTTGTTTGACTTGATTTTATGCGATTCTTTAACTGGTACAACAAGAAGTCACTTTTATGTGCAAAAAGAAGACTTGTTTCCTTCTAATTTTGCTTCTAACTCCCCTCCTCTACTTGAACATAACTATGTTGGAATTCAAGCATTATACTTAAGAGATTTGCTCGACTCATGTAGCTGTTTTGTTTTGTTTCAAACAGGGTTTTGCAAGATGTACCTATTCTTGTTATGGTCAGCATGCTAGCATATTTTTGCTTTCTGGAGCAACTCCTGGTACAATACTTGATCTTTCTGTCTTTTATTTCTGAACACCTGTTTTATGCATGCTAATATTTTTTATTTTTTATTTTGAGAATAGACTAAAGTTTCAAATAAAAAGATGAAATGAATTTTTATTATCTCAGTTGAAGTAATGAACCATCTGCTTCAACTAGCCTCCATGTTGAAGTGGTATATAATCTAGCTGATTTGGTCATTTAGCTTTAGGAGACTTTGTTCTATACATTTTTACTTTCAACTTGGTTTGAATTATTGACTGTTTATAACGCACTCATGCTGATTTGTACACTGCTTTTAATTGGACAGGTGTCTGACATGGGAGCTCGTGCTCTTGCTTTCTCTTTGCCCTTCTCTTGTGTTTTAGGTTTCGTGTCATCTATGATAGCTTCTACAATGGGTAATGTTTGTTTACTAGAATTCTCTTCTTCACAACACAACTTTTAGAACAAATTTGTTAGTTTCAAGTCAAAATTAGGCCTTTATGGTACAACACATGTAGAATTATCGCTTTCCTGATTTTCGTTTTTGTCGTTTGCAGTGAGCAAGAGTTACATATGGGCTTATGCTTCTTTCCAGTTTGCGATAGTGATATTATTTGCTCACATATTTTATGCGGTGGTGAGAAATACTTGTCCTTTCACTTTATATTATGAATCACATTTGAATCTTAATTTGCATGATAGTAAACATTGACCCAAAATACAACATCATCCAACTATCAACTTAGGCTTTTAGTTGAGATGGAGCACATGCTTCAATTGAGTGATTAGGCTTTTAGTTGAGATGGTGCACATGCTTCAATTGAGTGATTAATGTATTTCCTATACACGTGCAGCTTAATGTAAGCGCAATTCTATCTGTGATGCTTTCCTCCTTCACCGGTTTTGGAATTGCGATCAGTACCAATTCACTTCTTGTCGAGTATTTGCGGTGGAGAGCTAGCCGGCGCCTCCACTCTTCCCCCGAGAACACGAGGAACGAATCCACCCTCCAGCAAGACCGTCATAATCACAATCATCCAGTTCAGAGTGCATGAACCGGAATCCAGTTTTGCTAACACGTTTCTCGTGTAAATTCTTGACAGCCAACTCCATGTAAGCCAAGCTGAGATGGGGTTTGTCTAATGCAAAGTTGGATTGAATGTTTTTATAGCTCTAATGTCTACTGCACTAATATTTGAATAAAGTTCATTAGGGTAAAAAATTTCCTTAGTTACATTTTTTTTTCCTGACTAGCAAATAATTGAAAATCTAACATTCTAGCATAGCTATTAGCCAAAGCCTTTCTTCTCAAAACAGGTGCAAAAATATTTGGAATCACAGAGTATTACAAAACCACAGAAAAGCTAAAGAAGAAATTGCACATCAGAGTCCAGCATCAAATTTCCATTGTAGTAGTCATTGCTCCCATCCACTGTTAGAGTTTTCTGATCATTGTGAGTTCAATACCGCGTGCAATCTCCAGGTGAGGCCAAATTTACCGAACAGTACTTCTAGCATTTGGCTTCGTCACTGCTTCAACAAGTCTATACATCCATCTGTCTAGCATTCCTGTCACACGAAACAAGCAAAGTTTGTCGCAAAATGAAACCACTTGTTTTATATTCAACGTTAATAGGGTTTTGATTTTTATCATATCTGTGAAGTAATAGGGTCTATACAGCAAGGGAGTACTATGACACTCCAAACACTATATGGTGGGTTAATCACAGTTTCTACGCGTTAAAAACTAACCTGTTAGAGCAAATGTACCACCGAGAACTGCACAAAGTCGAGTGATGAAGTGAAGAAAACTTCGGCGTTCTTCTTTGATGGTGACAGTAATTGGTGATAAATCATACAGAAAGTACACAGCTGCATTAAATATAAGGAAGATATTATGTAAAACCAAGACTGGAAGAGCAAAGGGTTAGTAACAAAAGAATACATAATTAATAAATGAGTTTTTTTTTTTTTTTTTTTTAATAATAAGAATATATACTTTTAAAATGGTATGAGATCGATTTTGAAAATTGAAACAAACCTGGCCACGCCCTATCAAACTCATGTATCAGAGAGTAATACTCAGAGACAGAGAATTGATTCGTAGGTAAAACTTCCTTTGATAAGTACCTATATTCAGTAGGAACAATCTGTGCCAGAAAACAAGAATTTCAAGATCTAGAAGCAGTTTTCTGTTTACCAGTCAACAAAACACCATTTTAACACAAATGCAATGGACAAGTATCTTTCAGGCAGAACTTACCACAAAAAAGGGAACATGCACATTCCATAAAAAAAATTGGTGTCTTTTGAGAAACACCTAGTTCTCTTGTATTAGACCACCACAAACACAAACTTCAAAATATACAGAAAGAGATACGTGAACGCCTAACTATCTACAGAATCACCATAATTGTTAGTTAAAGTTCTTATCTCCAGTGAATAGCTTATTACAGTGCAAGTGGCCTAGTGCAAAACATTGAATTGCATTTTCACATCATATAAAGTCTAGAACTCAAACCTTTATATAATATTTGAAAGTTCCACTTCCTGCATGCAGAATCCGCTCTGTCCCATCTAGAGGGTTGTGAATTCCAGGATATTTTGGACCAAATGACAAGTCATGGATGATATGACTTACATTAACATGACTAGACCCTTGAAATATCTGTGCATGAAAAAGAAATGAAAGTAACAATTATTAGGAAGAAAAATTATGGTTAATCCTACACCATTCTATTAACTCTCTTTTAACTTAAAAAAAAAAAAAAAAAAAAAAAAAAAAAAAAAAAAACCGGAAAGGCCAGGAATTGGACTTGGTCTACTCCAAGTCACTCTATCAAACAGGATATCATTTAGTACAGAGGTTACTGATCTCTCATGTGATCTGGAACTTAATTGGTTTATAAAGTTTGGTATTCCTATTATTTATTTACTTTTTATCTTTTGGTTTTCTGCTAAAACAAATTGATTATATATCAAATATTCTAATGGGTATTGGACTCTGGTTAATAAAGCAGCACACTGTGACACCAAACACCCAAAGGGATTTTGATTGGTACTATCTGGATATGGTTATATCACATCTTAAGCAATTTGATTACATTATATGGAGTATCCTACAGACATGTTTTACTAATGTTAAAAAACGTAATTTAATTTTGGTGGTTAACTGGTATAAAAAAAGTCCAACTGTTTCAGTTTTAAGGATATATTACGATTAGTATGTGGTTTAAATAATTAATAAGCCACATATGAATGAAACATGTTTACTCCTGGTTTGACCAGTTGACCCAGTTGGAAATCCCTAACAAGTAAAATACAGCTTGTCGCACACTAGTTTTAGATCACTCAAGAAACTAATACTATAGAATTCAAAGCAAACTGACCATTTGAGCAACAAATATGTTGAGCCCATGGACAGATATATGGAAGTTTCCAGCAACACGTTGAACATCCAAAGTACCATACACCTGGAAGGAACTATAACTTATATTAGTTATATAAGTATTCAAAAGCCTAAAGAAACCACTGACATTGGAGATACTAAAGACTAACCCTGCATCCTTCACCATTATCCAATGCTTGCTTTGCTTTTTTAATAAAATTTTCAGCTTCCTGGTCAAAACCTTGCAGATGTAAATCTTCATGATTATCTTTGTGGTCATCTGATCACAATTGTTTTGAACTGTGTTAAAACATTTACTCCCATAATGAAACAACTGATGTGCAACTATGTAGCAAAATGATTTTTTTTCCCCACGTAATGTACAGTTAATGAATGACAAATGTGGAGAATTTCACCTCAATCAAAGAATAAAAGGCAGAAAGGAAATATAGAAAAATTAAATTAAAAAAAAAATCACCTGCAAGGTTAGAAGATCAATCACAACATAGAAGATCATGAGATCATGTGAAACATGAAAGAATAGACAAATGCAATCAATAAAATCTTATGGTTACTAGGCAGAGCAATGGTATGATTGTATGAAGCTACCAAATCCAAGGCTGGAGGACCACAGCATATAAAACTTGCTAATAAAATGTATCAACTTTTATCAAATTCAATGCAGGTAGCATCTGTTTATTTTATTAATTTATTTTGTTGTTATTAGAGGTCATTATTAACAAGTAACTTCCAAATTTTCTTTTCATCAAAGGAGATGAGTCAGAAACCTAAAAAGAGTTGAACTGATGTCATAAACCCTAGCACAGGTGGCACAGGAAAGCTGAGACATTAACCCTATTTGTAGAGGACATCATATCCTTGGTTTTGTTAGTAACCATAATCTTCCACGCATTCTATACAAATGTTCTTGCTATCGGATGAGGCCAGAGTCAGAAACCTCAGTTGAGTTTAAATGAAGTCATAATATCAAGTGCAAGTGGTACAAGAAAGCCAGGACATTACCATGCTTATGATCCGAATGTTCCTTCTCCACCAGGTCTGACAAATATTCGGTGCCAACGATGTAGCCATCACGGCTCAAGCGAAGCTGCATAAGCTTTCTACTGGTGAGCAAATCAAATACAATGACTATAACATGCATGCAGTTACAACTCTCAATAACCAAAAGGAACACAACTAAACAACTATACATTCAACCACAAGCAACTCCTGTAACTCTCGGATTTTTGCATAACAGTCACAAGGTATGTCCAAATTTCTTGATACCAGAAAGTTATACAGAGTAAAAGCTTTTTGGAATATGCTACGAATCAAATAATTCTTTAATAAACTCAAATCAACTCAACTAAAGCCTAAATTCTAATTTACTAGGATCAATTAATCTAATCTTTCTTTCATGGGCATAGGCAGAGGGAATTGTTTATATGTGATCAATTCTCCCGTAAATAATGATGGAAAATCAATGACGAAGCTACCAAAACAATCCATGATCAGTGTTTCACTTGCTTAATTCTCTGTCATGTTAAAAGGTAGACAGATGACAACGACAACAAAAATGATGATGATTATTATTATTATTATTATTATTAATTATTATACTATTTAAAAAAAAATAAAGATAAACAAGCTGCTCACCTTCCATATGTTTGTATCAAGATCTACTTCATGCTTTCCTGACATGTCAATTGCGTCGACACTCAAAACTGCCAAAAGAAATATTAAAAACTAAAAACACTGAGCATGAAAAATATTTTAAAGGGAAATGTATGGAAATGCACAAAAGAATTGTCTAACCATCACAAGGTAAAGACGGGAATGACATATTGATGTGTATGGGGAGTGTTTCCCCACGTTTCAAGTCAACAGCCATCTGCCAAAACATAATTATGACAAGCAAAATGAATAAGGTTGCATGCATACTAGATAAAAATGGTTAACCATTTGAATAGAAAACAAACTTCATTGTGAAATGCAACACAAACCTGATGGACTGTATTTGTAGTAAGATAATATCTTAGTTCATGCAAGAATAGTGTTGCCATGATGACTAGCCCAACAATAGAAACTAGTGTGATAAAAACAAGAAAGAAAGTTAGTGACTGAAGCATACAAGTGGGTTTATATAACATGCAAACCATCTCCATATGAAACAAAAGGGACATATTGAAGAACACCAATTTGGAAAGTTCTACTAACTTTGAAAAATACTCCATATTATTGTACCTACTATATAGGATGGTGTAGGATGAGTTTTGTTGAACAATTACATGTTAATTGAAAGCAATAACATACTACAATAGAGAGTTATTGTTTTCTTCCTAAAACCATTGATAACAGAAATGGATTTCCTGAATTATTATTAGCTGGTGGATGGCAATCTAAAAAACTTTATTCTCTAGCAGAATGCATTCTGCCTCTCTCTATCTCTCATATTTCCTTTGCCACTTCAGTTTTCTGTTCCTGGGAGAATCTCCTTTTGCATTTGGCTTGGCAGAGAGGTGAATAACAAAACAAAATCTTTTCAATCATGCGCATCACGTATCTCAATTACATACACATCCCATGTGAATGATCATTCGGATCAACATGAAACGATGGGTAGCATTTTTAAAAAAAGGGATTTTTTTTTTTAAATAAAAATAAAATGAATACCGAGGGCGCCAGATTTGGTCTTCTGCAACAAGTGCTCCTCAGCGCGCGGAAAAGCATCTATAGCTTTGATTGCTTGTTTCACTCCCATCTTTTTCTTCTTTTATTTATTTCCTGTCAATTCATCAAATATCAAACAAACATTATGAGAACATAAACAAATAGAACAAAATCAATCTGAAGCTCAGAATAATGTTCCCCGGGAGATTTGATTAGCAAAAAAGTGGTAAAACTACCAGAATTTGAGGATTTAGAGAGAGGGAGCGGGAGAGAGATACCTTAAACGAAGATTAAAAGAGAGAGGAACAAAAATTGAGAGATATCCTCCCCCTCTGACTTCTTCGCCGTCCGTCTACCGAGCACGAACAGAAGCGCCTACGAGGAACATCGAGTATGATGACCAATTAAAAATCATTGTTATTTTATGCAAAAAGGGCCTCTGATTGCGCTATAAGTTTCAAGCACAATACACCTCAAAGCCCATTATCTTAAGCCCATTAATGCATAGCACTAAGCCCATTTTCACTACTCGTATATTGTACGAGTATGTGTCTTAAACAATTGTTATATTCTGGATCAAGGTCTACTAATTCTCTTTTGTTAACTAAAGGTACATTTATGCTCATGATGAAGCATGGTCCACAATATAATAATTAATAATTTGTACTTTTGTGTATTTGGATCACTGAACGTAAAAAAATGTGTAATTAAATTATTAAACAAGTATAATATGTGCAATAGTTGGGACATTTTTAAAATTAATTCGTATAGAATCCAATCATATTAATCACATAAGTATGAACCCTAAATCTAAGGGCCCCTCACGCCCATGCCCTTTGGTTCTGTGAGAAGAGGTAAATCATGGGTTGTGCTTTAGTGATGTAGGGTCAGAGGGTATTGCTTTTTTAGATGAGGGTTATTCGAACATGGGTATTTGTTGGGCATTATACGCACACTCAATCTTTCGACCATGCACTGAGTTTATGCTATAGGGCATCATATTACTCACATGGTATAGTATGTACTAAGAATCACCATTTCTTCTACCATACTAGATGAGATGAAAGATTGAAATATTTTCAACTTAATTTGCATTAAAATAAATCATAAAATTATCCCAATTGCACATATTTTACTTGTTTGATGGTTTGATTACACACTTTTTAAGTTCAATGATCCAATTATACAAAACCAATAAGTTTAGTGATTTATTTGATATTTGTTTCAAAACAATATTTAGATTATGGGTGTGTTTGGTTCGCACATGGGAATCGAAATCGGAATGGGTATCAAATACTTGGTAATGGTAATGAGTTTTGGTGAAAGTATTTTGCATGTTTGGTAGTAGGGTGGAATGAGAATGATATGATTAGGCTAAGGATGAATAATGGGATGAAACCCTTATAAAATAAGGGAATGGATTTTCCATTAATGTGGTATTCCAAACTCATAGTAGTGTTTTAAAAACCAGTCAACCAAACAATAACAATCATTTTCATACACATACATGAGTGCTAAACCTGCCAACCAAACACACCCTATGTACATGCAGTTAATATATTAGAGCAAATACCAATTTTGGTCCCACGAGTATTAGTAAAATGACAGTTTTGATCCACATGTTTAATTCCTACCAATTTTCGTCCACGACTATTGTTTTAGTACCAATTTTCATCCACAACTATTATTTTAGTGTCAAAATTCATCACGCCGGTCACCCCTTCGTTTAAGACATGCCGGAATATGAAATTATTAAGGGTAGTTTCGTGCTTTTCAAATTAGGATTCATATTTGAGCATGAATAAAGCGATTTAAGCCCTAAGATCTATCACAATTCGCAGTTTTCCTCCTCAAATTAATGTAGGATGAGGAGGAGAACTGCGAATTGAGATCAATCTTTGGACTTAAATTCATTTATTTATGCTCAAATTGGAATATTAAGTTGAAAAGGACAAAAATGCCCTTAAAATTTTTAGATTTCGGGATGTTTTAAATAGATGGGTGACCGACGTGATGAATTTTGGTACTAAAATAATAGTCGTGGACTAAAATTGGTACAAAAATAATAATCGTAGATGAAAATTAATAGGAATTAAACATGTGGACTAAAACTGTCATTTTGTTAATACTCGTGAGACTAAAATTGATATTTGCTCTAATATATTATGTTCATTCAGTTTCAAATACGCCTCCAAGCCCATTAATACATTCATTAAAAAAACATTAAGCCCATTAGAATGTGTTATAAATATATGTATTATATGTATTATGAGGGCAACATTGGTCGGACTGTTTTAAGTTTAATATTATAATATTTATTTATGATATTTAGAATGAATATTTATTAAAGGTTGTATCACATTTTATGCATTTTCTAGATGCCACTTCTCATGTGTAGGCGTGTAGCCGTGTAGGTATATATATTATATTGTAAATATGCTACACCAAACATAACACGAAAACAATACAACCTTAAATTAAGGCATGAAATATAACGAAGCATATAATTCATGAATATAGCAAGTTGGTGGTACTTTCTTCATGATACAAACATCAATAACTATGTATAAAACGAGTGTAAAAGTACATAATTTAATTTAATAAGTGCTAAAAGTAACTAGTTATTTTATTTTTTTAGGATCGAACTACCATATGTTTAAGTATTCATGTTTACAGGAATATTTATGAATAATTCTAGAAAATTTAAGGATGTTAGGGAGGCAATCACTTCTAGCTTCTTTGTCACTGCTTGCCATTTTCCTCTTAGTATTCTTAATCATGTTTAGCACAAACTCAAATTCTCCGCTTAGAACCCCAAATGATGAAATCGCCATTAATATCGTGCCTGCAGATTCCCATGCAAGATTCAGTCTCCTGATAGGGATCTTCACCCGGCCGGAAAAGTACGACCGCCGTCATTTCCTCCGCCTCATCTACGGCATCCAGTCCACCTCTCTCGCCCGCGTCGACGTGAAGTTCATACTCTGCAACCTCTCCGGCGAGGCCCAGCGGGCGTTCGTAGCCCTAGAAATCCTGCGCTTTCGCGACATCGTCATCCTTAATTGCACCGAAAACATGAACAGCGGCAAGACGTACACGTATTTCTCGTCCCTGCCGGGAATCCTCCCGTCGCGGTACGACTACGTCATGAAGGCCGACGATGACGTGTTCCTCCGGCTGGCGCCGTTGGCGGCGTCTCTGGAGGGACTGCCGCGGCGGGATTTGTACTACGGTTTCGTGATTCCTTGTCCGAGCATGAACCCGTTCGTCCATTACATGTCCGGAATGGGGTTTGTGCTGTCGTGGGATCTGGTGGAGTGGATCGGACGGTCCAGAATTCCGGCGAATAATACGTACGGGCCGGAGGATAAACTGGTGGGGCAATGGTTGGATATGGGGAAGAAGGCGAAGAACCGGTTCAACAATAAGCCGGCGATGTATGATTATCCGGGGACTAACGGAAGGTGCTCGCACGAGCTGATTCCTGAGACGATTGCGGTTCACCGGCTCAAGAAGTGGGAGCAATGGGTGCATGTGTTGAAGTTTTTTAATGTCACAACAGAGCTTGAACACTCGAAAATGTACCATTTCTGATGCCATTTTATATGAACACATTAAAGAATAATGTAATTATGAATTAATTAGGCATTTTCAATTTACTCAAGCGAGAATTCCCAATCTCTCACAATATATGAATGAACTAGAATTCTAGCGTAAGTAGCCACACAAGTCCTATATACCTTGTCCTCTCTTCGATCACTTGGTTTCCCTCAATTTACTTTGCATTATTTTGTTGATTGATCTTGGTTTAGTTCTTCCCCGGCCCATTGAATTAACGTATTACGATTTGATAAGCAAGATTCACTCTCAGTTGAATTGACATATTCCTAGTGCTTTACACATTGTTTGTCCAAAATATTGTATAGTACAGTACCGCATGAAAAAACATAACAAAAAATTAGACATAAATAAAGGGTAATCTTCTTATGTAATTTGTGAGTTATTACATAGGAACGGATTACTAGCCCATACACACCTTTGAGGCTTTGAGTAGTGGCTAGGGTTTGCCTGATCACCCAAAAAGAAGTGATTTCACTAGCAACCTTAGCTTGATGACAGGATCTCTAATAGGTATTAAATCTGTTGGAAAATTCATTAACTGCTAGCTCTTAGTAGAAAATTAAAGTTAAAAAATAGGCATCTAGGCAAAACAATCACCTTAAGAGGCCAAATTTCACTTCAAATACTCATATCAAATGCAGGAATGTAACTATACTAGCATACCTGACAACCACTCATATGAGGCAAAACTAATTTTACCAAATTAAACACTTTCAATCATAACAGCTAGCTTAACAGCTCTTTAGTTTTTAGCTCCTAGTTTATAGTTTTTCAGCTTTCAGCTCATAGTTTATAACTTTTCAGCTAGGTTTGCCAAACAGAGTCATATACCACCAACTGGCTCAGCTTGATCAACTATTGGTAAGCTCATAGCTTATAACTTTTCAGCTAGGTTTGCCAAACAGAGCCATATACCACCCAACTGGCTCAGCTTCATCAACTTATTCACCAATTCAAAATGAGTTAATAGCTTTGCTTTGATGACCTTCCACTATATATTTATCTCCTCCAAAAGTTAACATACCCCAGATTGCGCAGTTGTATGTATGTCATGAGTATGATAATATATAGAACAAGAACTATGGGGCACAAAGTTGAGATTATTTCTCATATATATCAGCTGCTTCAAGAAATTGAAGCAATCTGCTGCTTTAATTTAAACCCTTCATGAAGCTAAGTATATATATGTAGTGCACATCTAGTCTAAGTACTCATGAATTAAAGTTGAAAGGTATACCATATACAGATGAAACAAAGATGGATTGAATAATTTTTGTCCCCCATTTTGAATAAGATAAGCTAGGGTAAATTAAAGTAAACATGCTGTAAAATAGGCTGATGAGAGCTGAGGCATGGTGAATATGTTGGGCAGCAATTCTTATTATAGAAACGTGATTCACTGCTATACAAGTACAAGGAAATAAACTTGATATGACAGAATAAGATCGATAATGAATTGAAGAAGTGTATGTATGTATGTCATACTCCATAATATTTTATTTCTCTTCTTATTGCTATAAATAGGGAGAGTTAACAAGATGGAGATCAGATACAAGAAGCTAAAAGCTTATCAGCATCATCACTGTTAGGTTATACGTATTCATAGCAAGGACAAGACAACATAGACACACACACTCTCTCTCATTTGTATATATAGAGAGAGAGATAAATAGAAAGAGTGTAAGTATAACTCTACTCTAAATTTTAGGCTGCAGGCGCGACGCTGGATGCATCGTCATCGTCATCATCGTCATCCCCTTCCCATTCATTGTAGATGTAATGGCGAGTTCCGGCTCCATCAGCAGCTTCCTTGGCCACAGAGTTTCGGAAGCTAACTTTCATGGGGTTAACAATCACCATTTCTATCTAGCTTTCTGGTTGTAGGCAGGTTTAGCTAGCTAGCTAGCTAGGGTTTGTTTCTTCTTCTTCACCGGAGTTGTTTTGTGGTGAGGCCGGGGCGGAGCAATTTGTATTTATAGCTGTGAACCTGGATTCCGCCATTTCATCAGTCGGGGTCCACTCCGATCGACCAAGATCCTCCAAGATAGATGCTATATATGCCACTAGTTAGGGCAACTGTTATAATCGAATGTTTGTCACTGTGCCAAAAGTTATAACTACATTTTCACGATCTCTAGTCATCAATTGTTGGATTTGACCCTTGCTTAGCTTGGGTTGGTGAGTTGAATGAATGTGCAGTGATGTCTGAAACAGAAACAGGTAGAATGGTGGTTTAGATTTTGAAACGGCAAAGTTGAAAATTGGTGGAGAAAATTAAAGCGAAAAGATGAGATGTGAGCTTCGTCACCATACGTTTGTTTGGTAAAAGGCGATGGGGGCCAGTGTAGGAGGCAGGAGGGGAGCTCATGGAGGCTCGTTGCCCTGTACTTCCCGCACGCGTAGGCACACTTCGGTGTTGTACTGCCTCGTGTACACGAGGCGCCAGCGTGGTGCTAGAGACCCCACTCAGCTTCACCAAAAGTTGTTTATGACAAGATCCTTCAGCAAAAGCTAGCTAGCAAATTGCTCATTTTGATTCCTCCTAGCCTAGCTCACTCCCTATTTAATTTTGTAGGGCAACATGCAGTTGAATTGATTCTTAAGTGAAAATTTTTAAATAATCAAAATTAACCAATATGATTGGCGTGGTGGTTCAGCACATCATCCTTTAAAGATGAGGCCATCCATGTGAAGGAAGCAAACCATTTGGTAAATGCCAAGTCCAGCTAGCGTTTCAAAAATCTGATGACGATCTATAAGAAAATAAAATTTCGCCTTTACTACTAGTTATAATTTTTACCCTAAGTGGTAAAAGCTTATAATCATAATAAGATCCAAGTATCGGACTAACTCATGTGGTTAGGGTTGCCCCACTCACTTCCATGCTGGCACATATGCAATTTAATGTGGAGAAAAATTGTCGCAAATTATGCCGTGGAATCGTGTTCACCGAGAATGGTGAACACAAGTCAAAACGACGTCGTTTTTAGGCAAAAAAAAAAAAAATCGCGGATGTGGAGTTAACGGCGCGTTACTGATCAAATTATGAATTTTCTGTTATGAGATTATGAATTTTATGAAAATTCATAATCTCATAACAGAAAATTCATAATCGCATAACAGAAAATTCATAATCTCACAACTGAAAATTCATAATCTCATAACAGAAAATTCATAATCTTATAACAGAAAATTCATAATCTCATGGTTCCAAAGTGAATGTGTAGGCATGGTTCCAAAGTGAATGTGCAGGCATGGATTCATAATTTATGAATGTCCGTGATTTCGGACGGGAATATGTAGGCATGGTTCCAAAGTGAATGTGCATGCATGAATTCATAATTTATGAATGTCCGAAACTCCGAAATTATGAATGTAATGAAAATTCATAATCTCATAACAGAAAATTCATAATCGCATAACAGAAAATTCATAATCTCATAACAGAAAATTCATAATCTCATGGTTCCAAAGTGAATGTGTAGGCATGGTTCCAAAGTGAATGTGTAGGCAGTCACGTAATTAATTAAAAAAAAAAAGAAAAAAAAAAAAAGATAACGGTGCACTAACACCGTTGGAACCTTGTTCACCATTCCATGGCATAACGTCTGAAAAATTGTTTACACGAGGCAAAGCAGCAAAAGATGAGATCGAGTTGGAAAGAAAGCAAAGGGCACGCGCAGAAACATGGTAGAAGCAGGCCTTCCATGAGTTCCATCTGCTCGATCTTCCACGGGCGCCCCCTCACCGGCCTTCTATCCATTAAAGTGAAACCCCGGCCCGGCCCTTTTGAGCCGCGCCGCCGAATGCCTAGACATTACCGTACCTCTGATCTACCTACTTCCGCGCCATTGATCTTTAAACGTAACCTGCGAGCATGTAATCATGTATGTATAAATTAAGGTGCCGCCGACGACGGAGCAAGTGTAGCTCCGGCAGCTTGATATCATCAGAACTCAAAGAAGTAAGGCGCTGCACTTCTCTACTTCTCTTGCTCTTTCCATTCATTAAGTAATGTGATAAATATTTATTTATTCTATTTTTTTTTTTCAATTATTAGACCTCCTGTTAAGTGAGAATAGCTAAACCTTTGTCAAAGGTTGCAATTTTAGCCATATCTTTAATCTTCTTGCATTGTGTGTGTGTGTTTTTGGGGTGCAGTTGCATCAACTTTTGATTTTTTTTTTTAAATTAAAATGTGAGTCAATTATTAATTTTGGTTAAAATCCACTTGAATTTAACTAATTTCATATATAGTACCTTTATTTTTCAATTAATTATCAACATATGCAAAATCTGAAATTGGGATAATGGGATGACCTAATGTGGCATTTAATTAGTAGAATAACGCTAATATAATTGTGGCAGTTTAAATTAGGATTAATTAGGTTAGTTCATCGAAACATATTCTTGATTGTCACATAAGTATAAAGAAATGAAATTGCACATTAATTTACTGGTAGCTGTCACATAAGTATAAGTGTTTAGTCTTGACAATTGATCGATATTAGATCAGAGTAGGTGGGAAGCATGTTGTGCTAGAGGGTTGAATCTAATATTTTGCCATAAAGTTGTCTTGATGATCACTAGCTATTACTTTTGGTGTTGCGTTAAAATTTTGCTTAAAATTACGACTAATAGTAATTGCATAAATATTTAGATTATTTTTTGATTAATATATATATGTACGTGTTTTTTTAATGAATGTCACTAATATGATCTTTAAGTTTGCAGATGTCACGTGCTTTGTGGCAATATATGCATTCCTTAGCATATTTGAGTTATGAAAAATTGTGTAAAAGTTGATTGGCTTTGAGTCATTTTATAAGTGCTCTCACTCTACAAATTCTTGAAGACTCACTCAAAGGAATTGACCGTTGCTTGTTGTGGATGGAATTGGTGTCTCTTGACTTAGGGTCCGTTTGGAAAGCAGGAAAATGACTTCTGGAAAATGTTTTCTGGAAAATGAGTCATTTTCCGGAAAACATTTTCCTTTCCAGTGTTTGGTTGCATTATGGAAAACTGTTTTTCTGTGTTTGGTTCATTTTTTGGAAAATGAGTAGAATTGTATAATTAAACATTTTAATTATTTTATTTAGAATATTACAACATGTATAATAATATATAATAATATAATATTAATTTTAAATATAATAAAAAATAGCTAAGTTTTTCAAAAAAAAAAAACTAATAATATATCAAAAATATTATGGTGGTGGTGGTGGTGGTGGTGTAGTGGTAGTGGTTTTATTCGTTATATAATAATAATAATAATAATAATAAAAATAATAACAACAATAATAATAATAATAATAATAATAATAATAATAATAATAATAATAATTGGTGGTGGTATGACGGTGGTGGTGTGGTGGCGGTGGTATGGTGGTGGTGGCGACGGTGGTGGTTGCGGTGGTATGGTCGTGGTGGTGGCGGCGGCGGCGGTGTGATGGTGGTGACGGTGGTTGCGGTGGTATGGTGGTGGCAGCGGCGACGGTGGTTGCGGTAGTATGCTGGTGGTGGCGGCGACGGCGGTAGTGGTGTTGGTGTGATGGTGGTGGTAGTATGACGGTGGTGGCAGTGGTCGTGTGGTTGCGATGGTGTGAAGGTGGTGGTGTGGTGGCGGTGGCGGTGGTATGGTGGTGATGGCGGTGGCGGTGGTATGGTGGTAGTGGTGGCGGCGATGGTGGTTGTGGTGGTATGGTGGTGGTGGCGGTGGTAGCGGCGACGGTGGTTGTAGTGGTATGGTGGTGGTGGTGGTGGTGGCGGCGACGGTGGTTGCGGTGGTATGGTGGCGGTGGTTGCGGTGGTATGGTGGTGATGGCGGCGGCGGTGGTATGGTGGTAGTGGTGGCGGCGACGGTGATTGCGGTGGTATGGTGGTGGTGGTGGTGGTGGTGGTGGCGGCGGCGATGGTGGCGGTGGTATGGTGGTGGTGGTAGTGGTTGCGGTGTTGGTGGTGGTTGTGGTGGTGGTGTGATGGTGGCGGGGGTATAGTGGTGGTGATGGTGGTATGGTGTTGATGATGTTGGTGGTGGTGTGATGTTGGTGTAAAAGTTGGAAAATGACTTCCCCCAAAAAAAGGGGAAGTCATTTTCTTCCAAAACAAGCCTATTTTCCAAAGTCAACGGAAAATGATTTCCGTTGACTTGATTTTCCAGGCACATCCAAACACTGAAAACTTGGAAAATGATTTCCAGAACTCATTTTCCAGGTTTCCAAACACACCCTTAGAGTGATGTAATTGAGTTTAGTTTAGCTGAAATTATTATCTACTATATCAGAAAAATTGTATTATTTGTTTTCTATACATAAATATCACCATGTGATTTTATAAACATTATTTTCTTAAATTTGTGACTCATATGCAAGTTATGTGTAAGAATCAAATATCAATAATAATCTATTGCCCAAATTTTTATCCCAAATGGATAATAGCCCTATCTCTTAATATGCACTATGACGTGTGATGATATTGCTACTTTACACAATCGTAGGGGTTTGCGTTGGTTCAAGGAATATTTTGAGATAATATAATGTAACATTTCTAAAATAATCTTGCATAATCTAAAATTATCGGAGGGATGTGATTTCTATGAAAGTTACTAAAAGTGAACTAAAAACAATGCTTGTGCCGGAATTCTCACATTCCTAAGGTCGTTATATGAGGTAATTAACCTAAACCAAACACCCCATTAACATTCACAATGGCAAATATACCATGAACCGTACTCCACATTGTAAGGTAAACTAACATAGTTGTTCATTTCTAATATACCAGAGATTCATTTTTAATATACTAAAAGTTTAATTTTAAGTAGTATATTATAAATGAATCTTTAAAAAAAATGAGCATTCAATATGTTAAAAATGAATATGTATATCAGTAGTTCACCTTTCAATGTCGACCATAGTTTATGGTACAATAATTGACATATGACAGCGGGAGCAAATGCCATAAATTAATACTTTTGAGCTATGACCATGATCCGTCTAATTATCTCTCAACTTAGATTTATTATAATCTAAGATATAACACTAGCTAATCTTAAACAAGTTTTTGTGTTGCTAAAATTTGTATAAAGTAAACAAGAAAATGAAATGGCTTTGTAAATGAAAAATATGGAATTTTATTGAGCAAGATCGAAAATATAATACAATTGATTGATTACAGTCGTCGCGTTTTAGCGTAAATTGTATATACTAAATATAAGGTCTTCCCTCTTGTATATGATTGGCGCATTGATACAGTGGGCCCATTCATCATGAGGTGGAGATTACAAGCAACCACGAAGGTGACCCAATATGCATGAGATTCCACATGGCACCAATCACATCCTCAACACCCTTATCTAAATCCACTTATCTAATCTTCCCAAAATCCACTTCCCATCTTCTCCTTCACATATCACCAACACAAAAATCACTCCTCTCAGTATAGCTAAGCTAAGCTAAAGCGGCGAGACAGACAGACAGACAAGACAGTAAGCTCCTCCGCGCGCGATCATGGCTTCCACACAGTGCTTCTACTTGCACCACCCTGCACTCTCTGCCCCTGCTAGGCCATCTTCCTCGAACCGTTACGTTCCGGTACTGAAGCCTAACCAGCTTGTCTGCCGCGCTCAGAAGCAGTCCGCCTCGGCTCATGAAGACGACGCCGCCTCTTCGGTCGCCGTCTCTCGCCGATTGGCTCTCACCGTCCTCATCGGCGCTGCCGCTGTTGGCTCTAAGGTTTCCCCTGCCGACGCCGCCTACGGTGAAGCCGGTACATGCTTCTCCTCATTCGTTAATTGTTTATCTCCTTTTCAGTCACTGTACTGTTTCTGGTAATGATTTTGATTGTAGTTATGATTGGATTGAACGAGTTAAAATGTGTGCCGGAATCGTTAATCGTATTTGCTAGACACATAACAATCAGATTATTTAGTGTCAATTATCTCTTAGTTTAAGCTTGATTGAGTATGTGAGGATGGATCGTCGATCCATCGAGAGCCTACCACCGGTATCCTTAGAGTCTTTGGATGCTAATGTTGATGGTGGATTGCAGCGAATGTTTTCGGAAAGCCGAAAACAAACACAGAATTCCTGCCAATCACCGGAGACGGATTCAAGCTGCAGGTTCCCTCAAAGTGGAACCCTAGCAAGGAAGTTGAGTTTCCCGGTCAGGTTCTCAGATACGAAGACAACTTTGACCAAACCAGCAACATCTGCGTCTTGGTCACTCCCACCGACAAGAAGTCCATCACCGACTACGGTTCCCCTGAGGAATTCCTTGCTCAAGTAAATTCATCATCTCTTTAATTTCTCACTGTTTGATGGTAAATGAAGTAAATATTAAGGTCGTGATGATGATCTGATTGTGTATTTTATTCCCCAGGTGGACTATTTGCTTGGGAAACAAGCCTACTCTGGCAAAACCGATTCAGAGGTAATATCTGGATGCTGAGTTTACTTCAATCCTGTGTGATTAGTAAATGCAATCAATGTTGCTTATGATGCAAGATGAACATGGATGTTTGCAGGGAGGATTTGATCCTAATGCTGTGGCCACCGCAAACATATTGGAGACATCAACTCCAGTGGTCGGAGGAAAGCAGTACTACTTCATTTCTGTGTTGACAAGAACAGCGGATGGCGATGAAGGTGGGAAGCACCAGCTGATCACTGCCAGCGTTTCCAATGGAAAGCTTTACATCTGCAAGGCACAGGCAGGCGACAAGAGATGGTTCAAGGGAGCGAGGAAGTTTGTCGAGGGCTCTGCCAGTTCTTTCAGCCTTGCTTAAGGTTGAATGTGTTTCTGAGTTCAGTCAGTCTGTATGTAGTGTTTTGTTCCCCTAAATCACATGCTGCCTGCTAAACTGAGCTTTTAAACCTTCTTCTGCCTTGCCCATAAAGTTTTAGAAATGTTTTGGTGTCATGATGGAGGCTAATGTGGATAAATCCAGTATATTTCAACCATCTCTGTTCTGTTTCTCTCTTCTCAGAAGATAAAATTCAACATCCTAGCTAGCTAAATATCAAAGCCAAAGATCCCTGACCGATTCAAAGGTATTTTATTACTTAAAAAAGTTAATGCACATTTCATATTCTTGCTCAATGTAAATGCTGAATTGACATTGGATGGAAAAGAAACCATTGGGAAAACAAGAGGTTATAGACTTCTCCCTCTGCCATTGCAATAATGGACGCCATTACTAACCGAGCCATTTTGCTTCATGTTTACACTATTCAACCCCCATATGCGAATAGTCCGATCATCACTGGCAGACGCTAGCATATGAGGGTTTACTGGGTTCCAGCTCACAGAGTTGACAGTCCCAGAGTGTCCACACAATGTCCGAACAAGTTCCCCGGAGCTTTTGTGCCATATATAAACCTACAAAATGACAGTGTTGGTAACAATTACAACTAAAACTACAAAGGATCATAAGCAAGCAATGGAATATGAGAGGAGGAGGTTATAGCGTGTAAACAAATCACAAGAACAAATTGCCTCTTTTCGAACTTATAAGGCAATAATAAGGTACCTGGGAGTCCTCACTTCCGCTAGCAATGAATGCTTGGTTGAGTCCACCAAAACAGGACCTTACAACGAAGCGAAGGCGTTTGTGACCTTTAAATTTGGCTATGCACCTTGGATGTCCACCTATATACCAAAGATGAATTTCTTGGTTAAGCAAACTAACCAAGAGGTGCTTATTGTCCCTGGATAATACGAAAGAGGTTATGTCTTGATCCTCCTCAATTAATTCCTCAGTATTTGATTCCTGTCTAAATAATGAAATCATGTTATCTTTACAAACAGAAATAATCTGCTTCCCGTCAGTTGTTATACCAATATCCGGAATCTTAATAGTCTTTTCCCCTTTCCAACTTTTCACCTCCTTCCCATCTAGGCTCCACATGCTAATACTTTGGTCAGTAACACCGGAAAATATACTTTGGCCATCTGGAGACCATCCACACGAAATCAGACCAACACCATCTTTTTCATAAACATGAACACATTCCCCAGAGGCAACATCCCATTGCCTAACAACTTCCTCCAGTCCACAAGTGAGAATCTGGTTGCTATCGGGGCTCCAGGAAATATACGAGACAGGCTTCTGGTGACCAGAAAACCGATCCTTTAAAAGGACTTGACTGTCTTCTTTGACCTAAAACAGAAAGAAATGTAAAACAAATTTACAATACATTACACACAAATACAAAAGACAGTATGCAACATAGAATGAATCGAAAAGCCTCAGCATCAACCAATCAATCACATTGGAGTATATACATACATTTCATTTCTATATAACCATAAGGTAATGGCAGCACAGGTTACAGGAGAGGAGGCAAAAATTCTAAATAAAAAGAGTTACTAGAAAACAATCAACAAACATGTGTGTCTGTCTGTCAAGAGAGAGAGAGAGAGAGAGAGCATATTAAGGCAACAAATAATACAGCAAGGGCGGTGCGAGAACCTCAAAATACCTCCCAAATAATAACAGAACAATCAGCAGATGACGAGGCCAGGTATTTTCCATCATGGGAGAACTGCAAGAACCAGACTTCATCATTGTGCTCCTCTAAGATCTGCGAGATTGCAAGTGAAGGGTGGGAATATTAATGCTACATACAGATTGTGCTTCCGAGTGATGCAGTGCCCCCTTAAAACTACAAATAAATGAGAAATAGGAAAGAATTGAAATCTAGAAATAGCTACAAGATTTGAAATTGACACTATAAACTCCTCAAAATGAAATGATGGGAGGTCAAACTCTTTCAAATATACAACATGGATTGCAATGTATTGGCATCTAATAGAACCTTTCAAGAAAATATCTCAAGAAATTTATGAAGATTGAATTAAGTCAGAGAGTGGATCACATCTTTAAAAAAATTATATTTTTAATATCCTTGTATACAGTATACCAACCCAAAGACTCAGTGCAAAAGTTCTTAGGAGCCACATCACAAGGTTGCTAAAAGATGCTTAGTTATAAGAATCTGAATTTTTTATACACAAACTTAGGCTATTTAGCTCATTAAAGGTTAAACTTGTTTAGAATTGACTCAAACTGATTTGCATGAGATAATTTTCTTTTGACATTATTGCCTAATTATCAAATGGAAATATGAAATATTATGAGGATCTCATGAAGTATGTGAGCCAAGGATCATGGCATAATTTGCACAATGATCCAGCAAGTTTAAAATAGACATCTTAAAGGAAACAAAGATAACCTAGACCCCGCTTCACTCTATCATCTAGATATCACGTACTAAAACCGAAGACCCTTCCAATGACATTGCATTTTTAAGAACAAGGTTCTTCAGTCCCAAAGTAGTGGATTATGAGCTTTGGAACAACATTTATTCAAACAATGATATCAAATTTAAATATCAGCCCTGAAATAATAGTAAAATGTTAAGGAGTAAATAACAATTAAATTCATCAAAAACCTGTAAGGTCTGAGAAGGAATTCGATCTCTACCACACTGGTGGTCAGTGAACAGCGATATTTCACCCACCAAAGAGTTGTGAAACCTACAAGCAACTAGTTGCAAGTCAAGAGCCTGTTCCACAAGATTCACCAACCTCTTTTCAGGTATCATGACAGAAGGGGGGAGCAATTTCTGCAATTCCTCTAATAGTTCTGAACGTGATTTCATCCTTACAATTTGCTGGCCTGATATGCCAGCAAGATTCTGTCGTGAACGAGACAAGATATGGGAGGAAAGCTCGCGGACCTGATCATGGTTTACGTATAGAGGTGCTATCTCAGTCCTCAATGTCTTCAACGCACCCATGACATTGTCACCATCCAGAAGTTCAAAAAATTTCTGCTGAAATATTAAGAAAGAAGCCAACTTTATAATTGTTTTATCTACTACACCAATTTTTTGCAAACTGGCTACACTTTCATCCCATTTTCCATTGAGGATTTGCTGCATAAATGATTTTACAATTGAGGAGTGCAAAGGTATCCCAGACTCTTCCTCCAGACATGCCCCACTCCTCTTATACCCAAGAGAATATAATGCTTCAGATATGATTTGGACAAATTCAACTTTCTTGACAACACGCTTTGAACCAACAACCTCAGTGTCTGCTTGAAATGCTAGAGACCGAGCCATTGAGTTGCTCGGTGAGCAACTTGCAGGCTCAGTAGGAGATATTCCGTTCAAAAGACATCCTGATTCTCTAGAGGCCACTTTTACACGTTTTGTAGGTCGTTCACTGTCCTCTAAACCTCCCATGAAATATATAACTCAGGCCATATATAATAAAAATGGAACACAAACAATTATCAAATAGTAACCCCAAATCCTCCAACAAACCAAAGAAACTTTCTGCCTGAAAAAATCAAATGAAAAATATATGTTAGAACAAAAAATATATATTTGAACACAAAGAAAATGAATAATAGGATGCCAATAATATAAAACATTCAGTGAAAAACTGAAAACAACATTTATGCTGATAAGAGTCAACTTTTGAATGGCATGGGAGGGAATGGAAACACATGGTAGATAGTTGACCACAACTTCATAGCAATTCAATCACATAAATTTTCCATTTGTTAAATTGAGATAAAAAATTTATTACCAAGGGGATGCCACCAAAAGGGAAAAGACAAGGGGATAAAAAGTAAAAAGAGATAATATATAAAGAAAACGGGAACTAAATTAATCTAACCAAGTGTATATAGAAAGTGCTAGAAAGAAAAGAGAAAACTCAACTTATTATATTGCACTTCAATGTATTTATAATCATTATAATACCATACCGAATCACCCAAATACTCAAAATTGCACCAAGTCCATGGCTACTAGAGAAAATCATTAAGCACCTGAATTCCTTCACTCATTTCTCATTAAAAAGCTTTATAGTTAGTAGCATTAGCTAGAGTACCAATAGGTAGCTCATAACTATGAATTAAATCAACCCTTGGCCGATGATAATTTTCCTAAAAATTTTCATAAGTGCAGCAATTACATTCAAGACAATCTTGACTTCTACAACTCTGCTTTAACACACAAGTCAAACTAAGGAAATGTGCATCATTCTCTCTGCCCATTCCCAGCTATGGATACAGTGTATGCTTAAACTAGAGAACAATTGCATCTTTAAGCTCCAAAAGGCAAAAACTATAATTAATAAAGTGATTTAAAACATCAGTATTCTCTATCAAGAGATACAGCCAGATTCTAGATAATCCTGATTACTAACATTCAATAAAATCCATTAAGGAAAAAAAAAAAAAAACATGAAGTTTAAAAGTAGAAGAATTCAAAATTAACATAAACGAAAACCAAGTAGAAATGCATGCAAAATCAAGCTCAATTCATCGACCATAAAAGCAAAACATAATCCAAACTCGTAAGAAATGAATGGATAAACGAAGAATGTACTCTACCCAGATAGCGATATGAGGATTGAGGAGTGAGATCAAAGTATCTGCAGAAAGAAGGGAAACAAAAGTCAGTAAAACGAAAGGGAATAGGTAATTTTGTCGGCAAGCTTACAGTAGATTGGACAAGGGAGTAAGCAGTGGATTGAGTCTTGGGTTTCGGGTTTACGTATTTATGTATGTTGAGAGAAATCAGTCCTTGTTAATGGCCTTTGCATTTGGATGGAAGTTGGAACTGGAGAGGAAGAAGGAGAATGGGTCGGGTTGGTATATATAGAGATAATGGAGCTTTTTGGGAACAAGAAATGTTGCTTCTGCAAGCCTCTTTAGGCCCAACTACGGGTTTTATGGGCTTTGTATTTTTCAGTGATCTCAAAACGCAAATTATACAAAAACGATAGGAAAAAAAGTGTAAAATAGGCCATTAAATTTACTGCTTTCTATGTAATTGAGTAATAATTATATCATGGATTTGGGTCTTCCTTGCCAAGTAGACTCAAATTCAAAATAGACAATATATTGAATGTTCACAATTTGCATACTAAATGTTCCCAATTTACTTTTTATAAAATTGTGTATTTTAGATCCATGTCTAAAAACGGCGTCGTTTCTTTAAGTAAAGAAACGGCTACTGTTACAACTTAACAGGGTCAGTATTTTTGGTGTGTTAATTACAAAATGAAACTATAGTTTATCTAAAATGAAACTATCCCACATATTGTTTTTATATTATCAAATTAAACTATAAATGAATTGAAATGAAACTGTAGTTATATTGAAATGAAACTGTAGTTGTGTTGAAATGAAACTGAATAACAGATTCACATATTTGAGTATATATTGTCCAGTGAAACTGTAGTTATATCAAATTGATATTGTAATTGTGTTGTAATGAAACTATAGTGAATATAAAATGAAATTGAATAACAGCTTTACATATTTGAGTGTATAATGTTAAATGAAACTATAATTGTGTTGAAATAATAGTGTATATAAAATGAAACTAAATATGTTATACAAACATAGTTAATTTTTCAGAACGGCACGAAACATGCACTATTTTTATGCTTGGACTACAATACAATGTAGACTGCCGTCCACAGTAAAATTTGCACAATAACAGACTGTCAAGCACAGCCCATGGATAACGGACAACATTAGGCCACTACTTGGCAATAGTTATGCTGTGCAACCGAATGTACCATGCGCATGGTGCATACGGTTCAAAACGACGTCGTTTTGACAAAAACGCGCGTCCCACTTTAAAAAAAAAAAATTTCAGGTTCGATTTTCAGCAATAACATTATTGTGGATATATAGTTATGAAATTGTGGATATATAGTTATGAAATTGTGGTTATATAGTTCATTCATTGTGGATATTTAGTTCAATCATATATTGTGGATATTTAGTTCATTCATTGTGGATTTTTACTTCATTCATTCATTCATTGTGGATTTTTACTTCATTCATTCACTGTGGATATATAGTTATGAAATTGTGGATATATAGTTATGAAATTGTGGTTATATAGTTATGAAATTGTGGATATATAGTTATGAAATTGTGGTTATATAGTTATGAATTTCTGGATATATAAAAATGCTATTGCCGGGAATCGAACCTGATTTCTTCTTTAAGTGAGACGCGCGTTTTTTTTAACCAAAACGGCGCCGTTTTGCAACCGTATGCACCTTGCAAGGTGCATTCGGTTGCACAGCATAATTTGCGACTACTTGGTGGGCCACACGACATTATATATATAGAAATAAGTTCATATGGTCCGAATGGGCAGCTTAATGAGTCGTAGGAATGAAATTTGTCATAAAAGATTAAGAATCAAGCATTACTAGCGATAATATGATAATAATCTTTTAAAATAAGGGAGCTCTTTGTGCACAATAAGCGAAATTCTAATTTTTGTTGGTCAATTGAGTCTTGTGCGTAATGAGCAAAAGTTTAGTCACTGTTGATCAAGAATCGAGTTTTACTAGCGACAGTGTAGAAATAGCCTCTTAAAATAAGAGGTTCCTTGTGCGCAATAAACTGACGCCTGGGTGGGCAATTCCACATTTTGTCACAAGAAATAAGCACATATTTATAACAAACTTTTAACGTGAGTAAAAAATGATTAGTACGTAATTGAGTAACTGAATCTTGAGAAAGGAAAATAATCTATACTTTCTTTGATATCATGAAATTAGATTCATATTAACTAGATCATTACACCAAATGTGAAAATAATTTTCTCAACTTTTAAATTTTTGAAAAAGTTTAATTTGAGGCTACCAAACGCCCTCTAAAGTTCTCCTGAGTGGGCCCAATATAATTTACATCACGAACAACGAGTAAATCAATTGTCAATCGTTATATCTTGCATCAGGACGCACAATGCATTGTACGCCCCGCCCTGTTCAAATGACGTCATTTTATTAAGCTGTGTGGGAAGTTGACGCGACAGAATGTATGTGTATTTTGTTACACAATTATGTACATTCTGTTATACAATTATGTACATTCGAAACAAAGAATTTTTTTTAAGAGTTAAGAGTTTATGTGTATTATGTATTATGTTAGATTATATGTATTATCTTTTCAAAAAAATAGTATGTGTATTCTATTATACAATTATGTACATTATATCATATAATTATGTATGTTCGAAACATCAGATTTTTTTTAGAGAAGTTAACAGCAAACACGGGAAGCGAAATTTTCAAAAAAAAAAAAGAGTACAAAATAATGTCGTTTTGGTCCAAAGCGTACAATATAATTTGCCATCAATTATCGTGTAATGACTGTAATTTCCCTCGGCATTCAAACAAAATTAGGATTTGCCAGTGATGCAAGGTCAGTACTGCATCATGAAGATTCAGGCATTCGATCAGGCATGCATCTGAAATTTGGGGACTTGTAAGAAGAGATATGCTGCTGAGAATGAAGAGTTTGAAGAGCCAAACGCGAAGAATGCTGCGCTAAAGAAGAGTACGTGGCAGGTCAACGACAGTGGAACAATCTTTTTGGAACCTGGTGCCTTGACGGTTGCCTTAATAATACAGACACTCAAAAGAAGAATAACTGAAACTAACGATCATTTCAAAATATATGAAATTGTAAAGTCAGAACAATCACAGTAAACATATACTTAGTAACAATGACGACAATAATAACACATTATTATCTTAAAAATGTCACAGAAATGAAAATTTTAACAATGATGACAATAATAACACATTATTATCTTAAAAATGTCACAGAAATGAAAATTTAGTAACATAGATAGGCTTTATTGGGAAAACATGGAAATATAATACAAACTTTTCTTTCAAAAACAAGTGAATGAAACACACAAAACAATAACCTCGTACTCCATCCAAGTTCTTCAACCTGTGTTGCAACGCACATAATCCATCCGTGCCAGCCTATGACGTATGCCAAAGTTGTGGCAAAAGCTTGATTTTAGAAAATGAAAGTGCAGAGCGTAATTTCATAGTTTAAATATCTACTCTTTCACAACAAAAAAGACGAAAATGAAATAATATAAATAGTAAGATCAGAGTAATTATACCTCAGCTCCTATCATCATTCATTCATTCATCAAATCATCAGGTGGGCCTAAACTTTCGCTGTAGCCTCCGAGACGAAATTTTGATTTTCACATAAATCCAGTCTTTAACATCATTCAAGAATTCATAGTAGGCTGATCTCCACGATTCTTTAAGCACCAAAGTAACCACAAATCCCCAAAAACTGATAGAGAATCCAACCACCATAGATATGTAAAATCCTTGATCTGGAAAATCATCATCTTCCCGGTAGTAATTGTTGTTCCTTTGTGGAGGAACATCCGCAGGACATTTGGGAAGTGGGTCCCCGCACAAACCTCTATTTCCAGCATAGGAAGAAGCATTGAAACTTTGTAGTTGAGTGCCCGTTGGAATTTTACCCGATAAGGAGTTGTTGGATAAGTCAAGAACAGCAAGATAACTCAAACTAGCAAGACCAGTTGGAATTACACCTGAGAGTTGATTCTTAGACAAATCAAGAACCTCTAAATTTTCCATCTGATAGATTGTTGGAAATATTTCTCCAGTCAAATGATTATTTGAAAGGTTCAAAGAAAGTAATCCTTTGAGAGTAGAAAATTCCTCAGGAATATCTCCAATTAATTGATTGCTTGAAAGATCAATGCTTTTTAGAAGTCCCAATTGCTTCCTATATTCCCAATCTTTCTTTTTCCATTGAACCAATATATTGTCCACGTAGTTATTAGAACGGAAAAATACAATATTGGGTAAAACATATTGAAACTTTGTGTGATTGGTATTTTGCATCAACAGAGTGAAATTGTTGAAGCACTGTGGAATTTTCCCTGTCAATTTGTTTTTGGAAAGATCCAAGATTTGAATTCTATTGAGCTGACAAATATGTGATTGCATGTCTCCATAGAACTTGTTATGTCGAAGGCTAACAATGACCAAATTCCTTAAAGATCTCCCAATCCATGGTGGAATTCTCCCCGTAAACTCATTGCCTCCAAAATCCATAACTTGCAATGATGTGCAATTTTGAAGTGAGGAAGGCAATTCCCCAACAAGGTGGTTGTTTCTCAAGTGCAAGGATTGAAGCGAAAATATGGAGCCCAAAGAAGGTGGAAACTTCCCGGTGAAATGATTATTTCCCAAGTCAAGAATTAATAGACTTGTAGAGTTATTCCAACAATCGGGAATTTCGCCAGAGAGTTGATTATAAGAAAGATCAATAGAAATAATATTTGAGCTGATAATTGAGCACAATAATGAAATTGGACCAACAAACTTATTATTTGAGAGATGAATTATTGAAAACTCTAGAAGAAATAATGGTATGGGACCCCCAAAGTTATTATAGCTCAAATGTATTGATCTCTTTTCAAGACGAAGGAACTTCTTGAGGAACTGATTGGTCGACATATTAGGTAGTCTCCCATCAATGTTGTTGTTGGACAAGTCTATGGATGCCCAATTACTGGAGGAGTTACAAAACCATTTGGGTATTGTATCTGAAATATTTCCATAAGAAATATCAAGATAAGATATAAAAAGCTGAGTTTGCAACCAATTTGGAAATTGAGGCCCCACTTTACAATTTGCCAAAGATAAAAATAGTAGTTGAAAATGAGGAACCCAATTAGCACTGAAGTTGAAAGACAAGGCTTCATTAAAGGATAAATCCAACACTAGAAGCTTGGTAATGTTCGAAAAGTGGGCTTCAGTTACAACTCCTCCCAATAAGTTTGATGAGGCAAACAAACTAGTGAGATTTAATAGCTTCCCAATGGTTTCTGATAAGGCTCCCTGTAATTGATTTCCTGAGAGATCTAACGATTGTAAGGATAAAACATTTGATAGATCAGGAAATTGTCCAATAATTTGATTGTTGGACAAATCAAGAAGCATAAGATCACATTTTTGTCCAAAACCTTTAATGTCTTGAAACAACCCTCTGATATTGTTACCAGATAAATCTAAAATTTGAAGACTTGAAGGTATGAAGCTTAGAGGTAATGATCCATTCAGCTGGTTTTTACCTGCGGACAATTCCATTAAGAACTGAAATTTGGTGCTGATATTTACGGGGAGTTCACCAATAAGTTTATTCACAGACAAATACAACGTTCGTAATGACTTTCCAGCCCCTTCTGATAACTTTTCCAAAAGCCCAGCAATCGATTCGTTTAATTGATTACCACTCAATGAGAGAACTTGCAAATTAGTTAAATTCCCAAAGGATTTCGGAATTTCATTTGCAAAAGAATTCTCATTAAGAGTAATGCTTTTAAGAAAGTTCATGTCTCCAAATACATCAGGAATGGGGCCTGTAAAGTTATTTTTTGATAGGTCGATGCTAGTGAGTTGTTTGCTAGCATTCCCCAACAAATTGAATACCAAAGGAGAAGTGAGATGGTTTTCAGAAAAGTCAACAACGGAAAGAAACGGAGGGGAAGAAGAATTCAGCAAGAAAGGCAAAGTTTTATGGAGTCCACAACTTGGCATATGTAGTTCCTCAAGGAAAGGAGGAAGGCTGACACGAGTTGACTCATCAGTTAAATCAATGTCAACTTTATACAAGTAAATGGATCTTAAAGAAGAAAGCAGAGTGAGGCACTCAAGATTTTTTATTTTCAAATTGGGACCCGTAATATATAGAACCCGGAGACTGGTGAGGTTCCATAGTTGGGAAGGAATAGTACCAGTAAAGTTGGTATCTATAAGTCTCAAGACTTGTAACCTCCTGAAGGAACCAATAAATTTGGGGATTCTTCTCCATTGAAAATTAATGTTACTAAGGTCCAGATAACTCAGATATTTCAGCTCGAGTAAAGATGGACTAACCTTGTGGGCTACCATATATAAGTCATCCTGATAAAGATCAAGAATGGTTACATGACCGGTGTTGTTGTTGCAGTGAACACCCCACCAATTGCAACATTCTCGTTGATCAACATCACTTCCCCAAGAAGAGAGAACACCCGTGTCGTTCTCAAGGCCATGCTTGAAATCCAGAAGAGCTTGCCTCTCCCTCTCAATACACCTTATCTTTTGGACTGCAAAGCTTTCTGTGAAACCAGAAGACAAGCAAAGAAAAATGACAACGAAAAGCAAGGGAGGAAGTGTAGTAAAGGTTCTCATAGTAGCTTTAGTTCTATGTCTATGAATTATGAAAACAAACTCTAACACACAGTACATATATATAGGACGCTGTGCAGTGCAGTTGTGCTCGCTTATTGGCGTTATCCACCATTTTCTTGGTAAAAAAGCGAAATCTCTCTCACTCCGTGCCTTACACGGGATTGTGGAGTAATTAAATCACAATTATTCAAAGATTACGCTTGATAACCAGAAAAGTTTGAACTTTCACAGGAATTTGAAAGGTAAAAAATTATTCTTACCTTTGCTGTAATTTTTTATTTAAAAAAGTTCCGATTAATCGAAATCACATTTCATGATATTTAGGAAAGTAAATCCCACATAGGGAAAGTATGATTCTTTTTCCTGGATGATAGGAAATCTACCAAAGTTATTTAATTATGTATTTATCCTTGTTGGCATGATGTTAAAAGTCTTTTTTTTTTATAAATATAAAAAAGTCCTTCTACCAAGGACCTTGTGGTCCAATAACACCAAGTTACTCTCTTATATGGAGAGGTTGTGAGTGGGTTACTCGCCTCACTGAGGCGAGATTGTCTTTTTGTTCTTCATTAGGTATTATTACACATTGTTTATAAATTTTACATCTAGGAGTTAAAAGTGTTAGCAATAATAATAATAATATTATTATTATTATTATTATTATTATTAGTATTTGTCCCTTGCGATGCACGAAAAATATGTTATAAAAATATGCCCTATATAAGGTTTATTCATATATAAAATTTTTGTTATTTAATAATTATTATGTGTGAATTTCTATGATAAAATTATGATCATAACAAATGGATGACTACAAAGAAGTAATTAAATTGATCTAAATCCATCAAATAAAAATTGAAATGACATAACATTCTCGTGAATATTATATATTGTTATTTCTTAATAGTTTTTATTCATGGGCTATTCTCTTGATAGGGGAATAGCTATTTTAATTTGAAGGTCCCTGCTAGTATTAAACTATTTTGTGGACCAAACGAGTTCTAAGTACTTATACATTTAACCATTGTTACTTGTGTCCTCTATTACAATTTGTATCCAATTATTGACTTTAATTTTTGAGACAATTTTAATTTGCTATTACTACTTAAATTAAACAATCATTATTGTGTGGACCATGGTTTACACAAGTTGTGTGGACCATATTTTGTCAACTGTAAAATAATCTACATTCAGTACAAAATTAATGTACATTCAGTACAAAAATAATGTACATTGTATTAGAGGATGTATATTATTTTTATTCTAAGTGTACATTATATAATATAATGTACATTCAGTACAAAAATAATGTACATTTAATATATTAAAAATGTATTTTTTGTTATAGTCCAGATAACATTGTGTGGATCATGGTCCACATAATAATTTGCCCTACTTAAATAACATTCAAAAAAATGACATAATAAAACATAGGAAAATGCTAAGTGTCCGTACATCTACCACTCACAGATGTAGCAAGTTTTAATAGTTTTTTTTTTTTTAAATAGTTTTAAATCTTAACCTATTAAAACTTGTCATATCCGAGAGTAGCAAGTTTGTGAGTGGTAAATGTAAATGCATCTAGCATTGTTAAGGGTATATTACATAGAAAAAAGCTATTTTTTCTTTTACAAAATCATATATCAAACTATTGTTTATTATATATTTATGAAAAGATATTTAATAAGAAGAGGAGACTAAGATTTAAAAATACCAAATTGTCATAAAATTTAACGTTAATTTCATGATAATTGTAACAAAGGACCAAATTTTACTAGTATTTTACAATGTTTTTTTTTTTTGAATACTAGTATTTTACAATGTTAGTAAATTTATTGATCTAAATATGTTAATATATGGTCAAATTAAAAATTAGGGATTACATATGATAATAATATCTTAATAGTCATTGGAGTAAAGATATATATATATATATATATATATATATATATATATATATATATATATATAAGTCTTGACTATCTCACATAAGATCAAACGTGCAATACTTGTTAACAAAAATATTTTTTTTATTTACTAATAAAATGTATTACGTTTTAACTAAAAAAGTATTACACGTTTTACATAAGATGTTATTACACTAGACTTATTCTTTTTTTAATTTATTTGTAATGAATAACATAAATTTAAAATTTGTGTCAATTTTTTTAATAAGTCTTGCTTAATATTGTTTCACTTAAGATATTTTTAGTTAAAAATGTAATACTTTTTTACACACTTATTAAAAAAATATTATGGTCTTACAGAAGACTCGCTCGTTCATCTTTCATTGTCTTTTCAAAATCAAATTTATTTATTTAAGGGATTATCATTAAATGCAAAATAAATAAATACTGATTAATATATCAAGATTTTTAAAAATAATAATATGAACCATGATAGTACAATAATCAACTACAATAGTGGTAACTCATTTGCCATGATCACTAGTACTATTTTTGTGATTTATACTCTTTCTTAATGACTTAATAGTTGTGCTGCTGCTTTACTTTATTAATCTAGTTTTTGTTTTGTTTTGTTCTTTATTTTTCTCTCTATTTTTTGTTTAATAACTCATGTTTCAATTCCCGACTTCGTCATACTATATCATGGATCACAATATATGCTATCCTCCCAAATGCTCTGTCGGGTCGGAGTGTGGGGGGGCCTTAGGGTTGGGGTTCAACCTTTTGGAAGAATGGATCACAATATGCTAGACTTGACTTGAATTCAACCATTTAAGGATGTGTTTGGTTGGTGAGTTTTGCCGTTGTTGTTTGGTTGATAGGTTTTTTAGAACACTACTATGGGTTTTGAATACCCCATCAATTGAAAAACTCATACCCAAAGCCCCTTATTCATTCTCAAACACTACTATTAGTAACCATTCTCATTCCACCCTACTACCAAACATGTTAAATACTTCCACCAAAACCCATTACCATAACCAAATATTTGATACCGATTCCGATTCCGATTCCGATTCCTATGTGCGAACCAAACACACCCTAAATTTTTCTTCGCTGGAAAACAACGTTCTTTCCCCTTAGAAACGTAATAGAAAGGAAAAAAGAAAATCAAAGTAATTATGTGAAGTCCTTAGTCATTTTTTTTTTATTGATTTTTGTTATATTGATAAAAGGGAGAAGTGTCAAATAAGTTCATGTACTATTGTCAAGTGCTCAATTCCAACCATGAATTAAATTAAAGGCTAATTAATCACATTTACCTACTAAATTTGTTCAATTAGCATTTTTTAGCAGGTAATTAACTTTTTTTTGTAGATTGTACGTTACCAATTCAATTATTAAAAAATTAATTTCAAAATAATTTAAAAATTATTATTAAAAAAAAAAAAAAAGAATACAGCCACCGGCTGTCCTCGCCGGACAGCCGGTGGCTGCCATTTCAAAGACAGCCGTGGTTGTCCGGCGAGGACAGCCACGGCTGTCTAATATGAGGTCCAGATCTGGACCTCAAACGGCCTGGAACGAGGGCGGCGGCCATGGCTGCCGCCCCAGTTCCAGGCCATGGACGGCCACAGCCATGGCCGTCGAATTTTTTTTTTAGACGGCCATGGCCGTCCATGGCCTGGAACGGGGGCGGCGGCCATGGCCGCCGCCCTCGTTCCAGGCCGTTTGAGGTCCAGATCTGGACCTCATATTAGACAGCCGGTGACTGTATTTTTTTTTTTAAATTATTTTTTAATAATTAAATTGGTAACCTGTAAAAAAAGTCAATTACCTGCTAAAAATGCTAATTGAACAAATTTAATAGGTAAGTGTGGTTAATTAGCATTTAATTTAGTTCATAGTGGGAATTGAGCACTTGACAATAGTACATGAGCCTATTTGACACTTCTCCCTTGATAAAAACAAAACTCAGAAAATTGCTTCCCCATGTTTACGCCTAGTTGTTGTTTTGTTTTATTTATTTTATTTTATTTTTTAATAACTCATGCTTCTTGACTCCGTCATACTATATCATGGACCACAATATGCTAGACTTGACTTGAATGCAACTTAGAGGTGAAACTTTGGAACAATGGCCAGGGTCCAGGGATCGAGTCTCACCAGCGACAATGTGGGAGTAACTTCTCAAAGTGAGGGGTTCTCTTTGTGTGCAGTGAGCACCGGTCTAGTCTCTGTGATTTATGTTCAATTGAGTTACCATGATTTACATTCTTCTAAATGCTTTGTCGGACCGGGGTGTGGGAGACCCTTAGGGTTGAGGTTCAACCTTTTGGAACAATGACTTGAATGCAACCTTTTAAGTTGTTCTGGGGTGGAAAACAACGTTCTTTCCCCTTAGATACGTAATAAAATAAAATCAAAGCAATTACGTGAAGTACTTCAATTCCCCCATGTTTACGTCTCTAAATATACTACGTAGCAAATTCCTGGATTGCAAGTTGTGGATGTTATTAATAATAATTAATAAATGTAAACATATTACACGTATTTCCCACGTACTCCAAGAGGCGTAATAAGTTGACTTCAAGTCAAGATTAGGCAACTAGCTTAGCATCCATGCAATTCCTCCAATTGCAAGCCTATATGGATTATTTTTAACACAATAAAGTATAGTTTTTTGGCACTTTTGGTCACATGCATGCACGACTATAATGAAAATATCAGGATTGATCCGTGATTTTCAAGCCTTGCAATTTTAGTCCACGATTATTATTTTTGTTATAAAAATAGTCCTTTCGATCTATTTTCCGTCAAAATCTCATCGAAGAAAAAAAAAATTCTCCATTTCAAGCATGGATAAAATAGATATTTACATTGACCTTGCAATCCCATATTGTTTTGACCTCTTATTCTGACCAAAGTACGAAAAAATCAAACCCAAAACAAAAACAAAACAAAAAAACAAAAAAAAAAAACAAAAACAAAAACAAAAAAAACAAAAAACCCAATTTTGGGGTTCAATAGGTAACTTGACTTGAGATAGATAGCATTCATAATTTGTACATGTTTTGGAGGTTGCCTATGGCGTTGAGGATGAATATATATAATTCACTTTCATTATTGTCGATATTTGTATCAACAATATGTCTAGGCAAGTCACTTAGCAAAAAGTGAGAGTTTGTGTATCTGTTGGTTCAGCTGCAACTATGATTTCATCTTCATATGTCAAGAGATTCAGCAGTATTATCATTATCTGTCATGATCATTATTTTCATCAAAACAACCAATAGTAGTTATAATAGATGTTTGAGTTACGTTGCTGACTCTGCATTTGTTCTTGCTTTTGGAGGTTCAACTTCAAGAGTAACTTTAAACCATTCACAAGTGCTGGAAATTCAGCAAATTCTATTAGCACATGAATTGATTCTCGAGGAGAGGGTTTATAGTGGAATTTACCTTCATTGAAGACGTGTCTTAAAATATATACATACTCTTTTTGTTCGCACCTATAACCCTGGTGAATAGCGCGGTAACCGATAAATACACAAGGATAAGTTTTCTTAACAAATTTATTACTTCCTTGATGTATTAGAGAAGGAAAGCATAAGCATCCAAATACTCGCAAGCTTTTGTAATTTAGTTCTTTGTGATATAGTTTAGAATATGGAGACTGAGTGTGTAAAACTGAGGTTGACATTCTGTTGATTAAATAGACAATTGCAATACAAGCTTCAATCCATAAAAATAATGGTAAGTTAGCATGAAATAACATAATTAAACATGTCTCAACAATGTGCCGATGCTTCCTCTCAGCCACTCCGTTTTGCCAGGGACGGAGCAAGAAATTCGATTGAGGGGGGGCGAACTAGGACAGATTCAGAAATTTTTTCCAGTAAAAGCGAAACATTAAAACAAAAGATATAATTTTAAAAAAAAATTACCTAAGAATTTTTTTTTTTTATAACCATTACTTAAGAAATATAATTGTAATTTAATAAAATAATTTGAATAGAAAACACATTATAAATTATACATATCACTATTAATATAAAAAAATGTTATATATATATATATATATATATATATATATATATATATATATATGTGTGTGTGTGTGTGTGTGTGTGTGTGTGTGTGTGTGTGTGTGTGTGTGTGTGTGTGTGTTTGTTAAATATTAAAAAAGTAAATGTGTTAAAGCCATAGGCTTTGGGAAGGACAAAATATGCTAATGCAATGTTTCAAACCCAAATTCTTTCCTATTACCATAGATATACTATACCAACAAATCTAACTCCTTACTGAGCTGAATACCACAATTACTAATATGATTGAGAAAATCAAAGGAGTTAAATTCTCCACCACCATCACATTAAAAAGAATTAATTTTTCTATTAAATTGATTTTCTACTAATTTTTGAAATTTTTGAAAACAAAGAAAAAAATATGACTTTTTCTTTAAATGATATAACCAAGAAAATATTCAAAAATCATCTATAAATATATCATAAAATCGAAATCTTTGATTTGAGATAGTGGGAGATGGTCCCCAAAGATTACACTACACTTTTTGTAAAGGATAATTAGACATATCATTATTCAAATTAAAGAGTAATTTACAACTCTTTCCAAATTGGCAACTAACACATACAAAAGACATAGTTTGCCAATTAGTACATCAATGACCTTCTTTCAAACCAGGTTCCAAAGCATAGAGTTGGCATTGTCTATATCCTTCTCTATTGTTCTCTTGTTTTGGTCCTTAATAACAAAATCAGATGGTATGAATTCAACAGTATAAAAGTTATCACTAGTGATTTTACTTACTGAAATTAAATTATTTTTCAGTTTCAGAACAACAAGAACATCTTTTAAATTTAATTCTCCAACACATGCATTTACAGTATGTGTTATATCAAGTTTGTTTCCGTTTCCAACATAGATAAACATCATTTCCTTTATATGGTTTTGTGTAAGACAACATACCTGCGTTATTGGTCATGTAGTTGTAGCTCTCGAGTCCACGTAAAAAAAAAGGGGGGTCATTGTTGTTTAAGGTGAGAATTGCCAATGTTTGTGGTAGATTATACCAACAATCAAGATCAATGTGATTCAGCTTAACACATATTTGACATTTTGGTTTGCCACCTTTTGATTGTTGTACAATTCCGTTTGTTCCATCCTTTTTTAAGTTTTTGAAATCAACATTGTTGTAATGTCCTGCTGGAATAAATCCTCTACCTTCTGAATTAAAACTTCTGTGACCATGTCCACGTTGGCTAAAGAGTGCTTGATTATATTTAATATAATTTTTCTCTTATTCCTTTGAGAAGCTAAGGTCTAACATATCCCTGAAGAGCAAGTAAAAATTGATTAAATTTAGGATAAGGAGGTTTAATTTAGTTACCATAGTTAGACCCAAGCTTTCATATTTGGAGATGTCCTTATGCACGCGCACTGCAGAACACTCTCCTGAAGACGTGGCAAGGGTGCCCTGAGAACATGGAAACTGCACAGAAGGCACTCCTGGTTCGTGCGAAAGCAAACTCCTTAGCTCAGCTCGGGAAATACTCAACAGCAGGCGAAATCGAGGAAGCTAAGACAGGAATGTTTGTCAAAGGGTTATACTAAGTGTAGCAGAATCATAGTGCATCTTGTTACCACTTGCTATTGTATCTTGACTGCTAAGTAGAGTTATCTACATACCTTATTTATCATTCGTTTTTTTGGAGGGTGCCTAATACTCATTGTCCTTAAATAACAGAACATAATCTTAGCAAAAAGTTTCATGTTTTTACATCTTTCTTGTAAAAACATCCTCTGAAACATTACCGAATACAATACTAAATTAGCAAGAAAGTAAAAAAAGGTTGAATTTTTCTTATTCCAATTATCCCTAAGACATTCCATTGACCTACTATCCATTGAACAGAGTCATGAATTCAAACCTACAAAAATGATTTAGTGCAAGTCAACAATTAATACATATAGCTAGAAGAATGGCAAAAAGACAAAGACCAAGCTGGCTGCCTTTACACAATGTTCATATTTCCAACCACCCCCTCTTAAATCCAACCACTTCGTAATGTATGTTTGACTATTTCTATTCTTTTGTCACCACCCAATGATCCAGATAGTCCCCATATTGGATTGCTGCCCAGATATTTAAAAACGTACCAATTAAAAAAATAATTCCCTTACTTGGTAAATCCTATGTTGTGAATAATCATAAAAATGTAAATCAACTTAGATTACTCTTTTCAATAGGTCGAACTTAGAACCTTGTGTTTATCAAAACAATAGCCTGACTAATTTAGTTGTGATTGTCGCGAATTAATATTTATTATTGAGTTCACGATATGAACAACCTACGAGGGACTTCTGGAATGTTGATTTACTTGTCCCATTTTCTAGAAAAAGGGTATTGGTTGTTGGACGCTGCTTGTAAATTTAAAAGACAGTTGACAAAGTCGTAACGGTCGCTGTCGGCAATACGTGCCTTCTTCAATCTTCACCGTATTCCCGCCATTTGTGCCGCAACTTTTCTCCATCCCTAATTAATAATTATCACCAATAAATAAATAAATACGGACATATATACAGACATAAACCTTTGGCTGGTTGGATCAGATTGAAGGGTTCAAGATAATCCAGTAGTCTTGTCTCTCAGGAGGACGGCCGGCCGGCAAGAAAAGATTAAATCTTTTTCTTTTCTGCACTTCCGGGGAGCTTTCAGGTCGCTGTCGGATCAGTTTGGTTGCTTATCCGGCTCAAGAGACGGAGAGATCTAAGCCAAGATTAGTATCTTTCAGTATTTCAGTGCAAGCGAAATGAGTAAGAAAGAATCAGTGAAATTAGACGACGGGCAGTTAGCCGAGCTCCGGGAGATTTTCCGGTCATTTGATATAAACAAGGACGGCAGTTTAACCCAACTCGAGCTCGGCTCACTTCTGAGGTCTCTCGGCCTGAAGCCAAGCTCCGATCAGCTGGAAACATTGATCCAAAAGGCTGATAGAAACAACAACGGCCTGGTTGAGTTCTCGGAGTTTGTCGCGCTGGTAGCGCCGGAGCTTCTTCCGGCGAAATCGCCGTACACGGAGAAGCAGCTGAAGCAGATGTTCAGGATGTTTGATAGGGATGGTAATGGGTTTATTACGGCAGCAGAGTTGGCTCACTCCATGGCCAAGCTGGGCCATGCCTTGACGGCTGAAGAGCTGACAGGGATGATCAGAGAGGCTGATACTGATGGTGATGGCAGGATAAGTTTCCAGGAATTCTCTCAGGCGATTACTTCAGCAGCTTTCGATAATTCTTGGGGCTAAATTCCAGGTACCTACCAATTCCCATCTTTTCTACCTGTGATTCTAGAGTTTATCATTCATTATAATAGTCTACTGATTTGATTTGCTTGATCAAAACTCAAGGAGTAAAAATTTAAACTATTCATGTGACCAGAAAGATGAATATAATTATTAATTAATCATTCATTCAAGATTATGAAGAAATGAACCTGCTGCTGCTGGTGCAAAGTCACATAGCATCAGATCTGCTGCTGCTAAAGCCTACCATTAAATGATATGATGTCACAAGAATCAAAATGTAAACAAATAGATATTCTCAAGTACCATAATCTTAAAACAGAAGAATGATCGATCTTTTTTACCGTTGTCTTTTGCAGGTTGGATAAAATTTCAGACCCCAAACCAATGCTGTTGTGTGCACTTCAGATAATGTCAACTCGTCATGCTCTCCATATTCATTCATATTGCATTCGTTGTATTATGTGAATCTGTGATGATAAAGCAAGCGAGAAGTCCATCATCCAGTATAGTGTTCTACGATGTGATATTATGGCCTCTGCTCTTTGTAACTCTGTCATATGTTCCCTATTTTTTCATGTAAGGATGAAAATTTTGCACATAGGAGATCAATAAATCAATTTTTTGTGCTTTCTTGTATAGAGTTTAAACTGTTCTTGTCAATGCTACTCCACCTCAACCCTTCATTGATGGTTAGAGATGCAAAAACACTGTATTTAACAGCTTAATACCATGCCACTGGCCAGAAATGCAATGTTCAGGCGGACTATGGAAGGCAACTGATTTTGGTTGGTATAGACATTGAACAAAAAGTTTCATTGAGTGGAAATACGCATGGATCAGGTTATATTCCAAAAACCCGTTACAGCAAAAAGCACGTAGAGAGCTACAGAATGTACAATCAGAGGCATTCAAAATTGATTAGAAATGGGAACAAATATTTCAACTATTGTAAAAAATTAGTGTATGATACTATGATTGGTCAAGAAAACCTGTAACCAGACCAAAAAAGAAAGCTAGTATATCGTGTAGAAATTGCATCAAGCCTTCTTCTTCTTGGATTTGAGCATCACATACCCAATGAACATACTCAAGAAGCTGAGAAGTGCTACACCAGCAAATACAGGAATGATGATGGCATATTCTTGTGGGAGAAAGTACTTGTGCACAAAATGATCGCTGTCAACAAAAGGCTGAAGAAAAGACAATTCATCTTGTTAAAAACTTAAAATGCTATAAATGTTACAAAAACATGTGCCAAAACTGAATTGACAACTGACCAGGATAATGACCCAGAAGGTATAATATGTGAAAATTGACAAGCTGGTTACAGTTAAAAGCAGCCCAACAGCTTTATCTGCTAATTCCATAGTAATCACCTTCACCTGTTCAAACGGCAAACAGAACTAGTTTAGATGAGGAAGTTGTACAAATCCTTCCTACTCTATAATAAACCAGAAGACTTTTGGTAATAAAAAATAAAATAAAAAAAAATTCCCGCGCATGCAAAACACATAGTTTTGGCATTAGAGGAAATGATAATTTTTCTTATGCATTTGCTTGACAGCCAAGCATTTATTAAAGCTATTCTATTTCGAAAGTTTGCTTTCCAATGATATTTCTCACAAATATTCATTTCTATTTTGTTTGTTCGCTTGACAATTAATTAATTAGTAACATTTTCCAATGTTGTTTCGATTTCTATTGTTTAGTTTTACAAGTTACAGATCAGAAGGAAGCATGAAAAAAATTAATGATTACAAAGTAAATTTTGAATTTGAATTCACATAAAAAATAGTTTATAAATATTGCATGTTCAAAGGTAAAAACCCACACATAAAACATTCCCATATTCAACTATTAAACCAGAACAAATTCTCTCAAAAAATCAAAATGGCTAGAATGTTCGTTTTGGCCAGTGAGATCAACTCTCTTAGCTTAGAAAAAGCAATTAAGCACCAATTAGAGAAAATATATGAAATACCTTAATATAGAGGTAACAAAGTTTGGAACATTGGAAGTATAAGTATAGGCAAATTCTCCCATGAGACCGTTTCACGGAGACATGTCGGATTTTTTATAAGTATTACATTTTCTCACGTAATTACAATTTTTCATTGTAAGTAACTCTTCAACTAATCAACTCTTAATATTACATTTTGATTTAAAAAGTATTACATTTTTCGTTATAAGTATTACACTTTCTCTCATAAATAACAATTAAACAATTTATCTATAATTAGTATTACATTTTTTTCTCATAAGTAACTATTCAACCCTAAATGTTACATTTTGATTTAAAAGTATTACATTTTCCCTCAAAAGTATTACACTTTTTCTTATAAGTAACAAATAATTTATTCTTGATTAGTATCACATTTTCAGTATAAGTATTATATTTCTATCATGACCCGACCCATCTCACAGATAAGGATTCGTGAGACAGTCACACAGGAAACTCACACATAGGTATATTATGGTGAAGCAAGTCTGCTGAAATTATTAGCAAAATGACAGTTATTCATGCTCAAATTGGGGTCTTAATTATGAAAGGACGAAAATACCCTCAATAATTTCATATTCTAGCATGTCCTAAACGGAGGGGTGACCAGCATGATGAATTTTGGCACTAAAACAACAGTCGTGAATGAAAATTGGTAGGAATTAAACATGTGGACCAAAATTGTCATTTTGCTAATACTCGTGAGACCAAAATTGATATTTGCTCTATTGTGTATATATAAACTGTTCTTCATTTATTTACTTCTATATTAATTATTTTTTATTTATTTAAGTATTTATAAGGGTTTGTCGGATGTCATTTACACAATCGGATATTAATCTACTGTTTAAATTTCAAAGGAGACAATTTCGCTTAATGCTTTCATATGTCATGACTATTAACAAAAGTCAAGGACAAACTTTAAAGCATGTTGGTATGTTATTAAAGTTTTTTTTTTAATCGTGGACACTTTTCAGAGTTAGTAGTCCAAAAGGGCTAAAAAAAATTTAATTTGCAATGATTCAAATGTTCATTGCAGTAAACTATGAATTTTGTGTGCAAAGAAGTCTTTAATAATTTGTAATTTAAAATTCAAATTAGATTGTTAGTAATTGGTTCTTATGTGTGCAGTGTGCTATTTTTATTTTCAATAAATATAAATTTTAAATGATTTATTTAGATTTAGGATTGTTTTTCGGTTATGGTATATAAATGTAGAATGAATAAACAAATTAGTATTGCTAAATAAAAAAAAAAAAAAAAATTGACTGTAACTTTCGAGCATAATTTTACGCACGGGAAGAATGCTAGTTATGTTATAAAACAGCACCCAGCAAAATATAGTATTAGTATCCTACAAATTAACAAATTACATTGACCCCTAAATCCAAGATACCAAGAAATTCCCAAAAATTAGAGAAAGACATGATCAAATTTAAGAAAAGCAAAACATAACAACCAAAACATTAAATACGAGTTAATTCCATAAATGATCCTTCGACTATTGACTTTACTAATTTTTATCCTCGACTTTTCATTTGAACAAAATTGATCCCTTGAGTCCTTGACAGTTGGTTTTGTTCCAATTTTGGTCCTTCTGTTAAATCTCAGTTAAGTAGGCATTAAAGATTTAAATCTAAGGGCAAGAAGGGAAAATCAAATCATTAGCCCTTTTATTCTTCATTTCTTCTCCATTGCCATTTCTTAATGGATGAAATAAGAATTCCTCAACAAAATTCTAGAATCGTAGGAGAAATGTTGAAACATAACTACACCAACTTGTTATTATATTCTAACAACCTCATCTACTCTTAAGGTTTAATTTGGTGTGTTGACGCAGATGGTCAAAAGGAGTCCTCATTCAACCTAGGCATTGGATTAGGTCTAATGTATGCCATTGCAAGTTGCAGAAATGAACTCAACAAGATTGTATACTTACCTTTGCAATTCAAAACCTTAATTCACTCACAAAGCACAAAATCAGCAACTCTCAACTCCATATGATGTTTCAACCCTCAACAACCTTTCCTGCTTCTTGAACACTGTCCGCCACGAAAATTTTAAGGACAACAGAGATTGTTGTGGTCGGCACACGAAATGCAATTAAGGGTTCTAGAATTTGGTTGAGGAATTCTTTTTTTTTTTTCCCATTTGGTAAGAAATGGCGATGGAGAATAAATGAAGAAAAAAGGCCCAACAATTTGATTTTACATTCTTGCCCTCAGATTTAACACCTACTTAACTGAGATTTAACAGAAGGACTAGAGTTGGAACAAAATCAATAGTCAAGGGACCAATTTTGGTCAAATTAAAAGTCGAGGATAAAAATTGGTAAAAGTCAATAGTCAAAGGACCATTCCTGGAATTAAGTCTATTAAATACCAGGTCATACAGTGTTGAAGACCAAACACAAGAACATGACTTAAGAAGAAAAGGAAAATGTAGAAGCTCTAAATGAATATTCCACAAATTTCAACCCATTGTGAAGATCTGATTGCTTATTCCCTTTGCAACATGGACCCCCATCAAACCAAAACTAATGTAACTTGTGTATCTAGTTTGAATAGTGCAGTTTTATGTAGCATTCTCAATGAGCTGAATTTCATTTCAATCTCTACTCTAGTATTTACTTAACTAGCTTAAGTGCATGTTTGGCCCAACTTATTTAGGAGCTTATTTACTCCAAAAAACACTAAGACATTGAGCCAAACACCAAAACAACAAGAAGGATTTTTAAGGGGAGATAAGAGGAAGAAACCTCCTCTTCATTAATAATAAGAGCAAACAAAGAATTTAGATAGACTTAATTGTCCACAAGTTCCCACAAAACTCAAGAAAAATATTGCAAATAAAAAATATTCACTTTTCGCAAGATCACATCCAGGGTTTGATATTAACAAGCCAAGCCTGAACCAAAGATGTCATTTATATGTCCACAACTTTATTGTTTATATATAATGAAGCCTACATCCTCTGTTCTCAATAAGCATCTTATTGCTCTCAATTATGAACAAGCATCACCCTTAGCATCCATAGCCCACTAGCGAATTATGCAAATAAACAGGTTGTCTAACCTCATTCAGCTAGACAATTATGCAAAATAAACAGCTTGTCTAACCCCATTCTGCTAGCTCATACACAACATAAACAGCATGTTTGACCTCATTCAGCTAGCCCATTACACAACATAAACAGCAAGTCAGCATATTATACATATCCATTACTTAGTAGATTATGCAAAGAAAGTCACAATCCAGTAATAAATGGATACCAGTAAAGCTACAAGCACAAATCAACCATTCAATGAATTCCAATCTGACTAAGCTCCATTTAAAAAAAATAACAAAGCTCGTTAAGATTTCAGTAATTAAAAACATTAGGCCGTTGATGGAAAAATTATCATAGACACGAAGAACATTTTACTTGATAACCATTAACAAGGGTTCGAACAAAATTAACTTTAACCAATCAAATTGAATATACAAAAAAAAAAAAAAAAAAAAAAAAAAATAGTAAGAATTTTATGCTAAAAGAGAAGCAGGGATATGATGAGAGATACCTGAAAAGAATTTTCAGCTTTGTGTTTAGAGCATGAAGATCCTCATAGGCGATGAAAACGAACTTCGACGATCTCTCCCGCTTTGATTTTTCGTCCGCCTTCCTCATTTCCTCTTTCATTTTAAAGTCGGGCCTCAGTGGGCCTATGCATCATAAAGCGAAGGCTTACGGAGAAGCCCAAATAAATGCGCTTTTCGGTCATTGTTCATCAGAAGTGAACAGCTTAAAATTATCACAAAGTTCTCCAATTCTAATTGATCACGACCCTATCATAATTTGATTAATATAGAAATTAAAGTTTTTATCCTTTAATTATTTTGAGTATTGAAATGTGATCCCTTAATTATAAAATAAACATGTTTGATCTGTTAATTATCATTTAAATTATAAATATGATTATCTTACTTGTAAAATAAATAAATCGTTGTTTAAACCAACTTTGAGAATGAATATTTTGATCATTTTATGTAACATTTTTCTTCCTTTCTTGCATTATTGTTCAATTAAGAATAGAACAATAAAATATTTCGCCCTCCTATTTGAAATCAAAATTTATTTGAGCGGTAAGTAAAAAAATATATCAACAACTAAAAAATAATTAAAGTATCAACTTTCTTCATAATAGAGAAAACAAATGTAACATATCTTACATAACTTTGATGTACAAAAAAATATAATAATAATAATAATAATAATAATAATAATAATAATAACAATAATAATAAATTGACGCACATCCATACAAATTGAACACATTAAACCTTTAAACGTAAAAGAATTTGTACCAAAAAGAGATTTGATACAAGAAACTAACAACAATATAATAAATTAAGAGGTAACTACCATTTACAAAATGTCAAACTTGAAGCATCTAGTTTAATTTTATCTTCCTGCAACTTGAAGAAAACTTTCTTTGGATTAAGGACATATTGTGCTTTCCAACTGAGAGCACATTCCACAATACTAATTAGAATGCATGAAAATTTCCTACTTAAGAACTCAGCACAAAAACAAAACAATTATAACGATCCAAAATTTTAAAATCTCCGCCAAACATAAATATGATCACGCCGGGGTAAACAGAGAACCAGAAAAACTAATTCTAATAATATCCGCTTACACAGCAGAGCTGTGTTACTTTTGTTATTTACCTAAATTCAAACCTCAAGGAAGTTCAGCTTTTTGCAAGATAAAGCAGCAAACGTAGTTTGATTAGTAAGGTGACCGCGTTGAATCCACTGCATTATGTCCGGGCGTACCATGCCACTGTAAGTATTGCTTCCGAGGTTGGCTTTGAAGTCACCAAGACTGCTAATGCTGAACTGCCTGTAGTGGATGCTAGTTCCTGCAGGCTTTGTAGGCCTCATCATCATTGCAACAGTGGGAAAGGCTTTAGGCCACATACTTCTTGATGAGGTAAACAGATGCCTGCTGGAATCCTGATCCTGTTTTGCATCAAACTTCTGAAAACTGTCGAGCTTCTTGGGGGGTGTTGAGTTTGCAAGTGGTTTGGGGTTGAATTTGTTGGAACTGCTAATGGAAGGGGGTTCTCCTCGGATGTTAGCTGTTGGCTTTGCTTTATCAAGCCATCGAAGGATCCAGTTGCCAAGATTCCTTCCAGCTTCAAGATCTCTTTCTTGTATTTTCCTATGAACCGTGAGTGCCACATCAAACACAGCTCGTGTTCGTCTGCAAGACAATGAACTCAATCAGCCAACCAGCCACATAAAGAAGGATCAAAATGGTTCTACTGTTCTACCATACAATGAAACCCAGGAATATTCACATGAAACGACATGCCACATCAAGTTAAGCAACATTCATTTCATTTTGTTCATGTCCACATCTTTATTATGCATGTAGAGGATTGAGTGGATACAAGAAACTAAAACAAAACAGAACAAGAAAAAAAAATTACTATGGATGGAATTTACTATCTTCTGCAAAATTCCATGGAATGTAATGCTTATTGAAAATTCTTACCAAGAAAATAAATAGTGTACTATAAAGCAGGCAAAGAAGTATATTCAGTATCATTCAAGTAGGAAAAGTCTGAAACTATGGAAATGTCAGTAAAAACTTACAGCGAAAAGTACTCCATCTTCAAGAGTCAAGACACCAAATAAAGCTTTTAGTGCTTAGGCAATGGTATTCAGAAAGAGAAGTCAAAAGTCATTTAAAAGTTAAAGGAGTTCAGAGAATTAGTGAAAACATCTTACGTTTGAGGATAGTGCTTGAACTACAAAATGACAGTTTATTTGCTAGCTCACCCCCAACCAAGTGGGGTTCAAGAGTGACAACTGATTGATATAAGGAACCTGAAAGGAAATTATTTTCTTCTAAAAATTCAAGATTTGCACATTCTCAGATTATGCATAGTTCCAATAGTTTGTTTAAAACGTATCATTTACTTCCTCTGACAAAGAAGAGAACCACAACCACTTTCTTCTTACTAAATGGAAGCTGTTGGAATCAAATTTAATGTAAGGATATTATTCATTTTACCTATTGTAAATTCAAATGTAATTGAATGATATTATTTTAATATGGAAGAATAGATATTAAACAGATAACTTGAAAGATAAAGTTGCCTCTCATAGTCTCATGGATTGAAGAAATTGTTAATGGCTACAAATAAAGTGACAAACTAATAGTTATATGTGATGTTTCAGATACACATCTGGTTGATGACCATAAAACACAACAGACATCTAACATTAATTGGATGTATGCATTTGCATCTTCTGAACTTTTTTTACAAAGATTTATATGTATACTGTTTATTTTGTCCTTAAGAATAAAACTTTACATCTGTATCCACATACAGAGTTCACCAGCATCATTTCACAATGTTATGCTCATGATCAAATCTAAGATTTTAAAAATTACAAACCTAATTTTGTCATGTAAAATTCACCTCTCAAGACAAGGAATAGAGAGGTTATGTTCATTTAAAATATTTATAAAAAATAAAAAATAAAAAAATAAAAAAATAAAAAAAAAATAAAAAAAAATTGGACAGAGTTTTCTAGGTACAAAATAGTTGGCATAACCAGTTATGCAGGTCATATCTAATGGATGGGATGAAGCTCGTGGAGAGCAATATGCAGCAAGCCAGCAAGGTAAAAGATAAAGCATACTGCAGTACTAGGGGAAGATGGCTACATATATAGACTCACTTACCATTAACTACTATAATAGTTCCAATAATCACATAGTTATTAGTATTAGATCACATCCTAAGATAGAGTGTAAGGCCTTACATTTTAAATGAGGATATTTGTCAAACCAATTCCAGCTTCAGATATCACTCATGGCATATTAGGACCTTGGATCAACTACCTTGTCATTGAACTCAAGCAATTATACAATAGCCAACCTTGCATCCAGCTAATAGATACTGTAACTAGACCACTTTTCTAGAGACCAAAGCTGTTTACTTCCTAAATTATACAACTAACATTTCACACAAATTTCAGAAATTTCATGATGATATCTTGTCTCTTTAAATTCTCTAATCTCATTTACCATAAAGCCTTAACATCTGTGTCATGAGCTGAAGATTTCTTCCCCAATTTCCTTAAAAGATTCAACCAATTTAGCTCAATCCAAAATAATTGCCAGTAGTTCTGAGAATGACAGGTTTCTCTTATTTGTGCAGATCACGTCAATAAGGAAATCAACAAATTACAGAACGATACACCACATTTTACATCTATTTTCATAAAACTGAGCCAAATTTCTAAATTGGATGCACACACACACACAGGAATAGAGACAAAAACTAGATGCATCACAATCACAATACACGAATTGAAAAACTGAAATATTCTATGACAATCGAGAAAAGAAAAAAGGAATTAACCTGTGAGCAAATTGACGAATCTTCGGATACTTGGGGCTAATCACCCGCCGCTGAATCCTCAATGCGAGTCTGTACGTTCTCTTCAAACCTAAGAAATAAGCCGTTGCTACTGTTATCTCCCATAGCACCATCTTCACTTCCTCTCTCTCTCTCTCTCAGCTTTTTATTCCTCTGTTATTTTTCTCTCTAGAGATGCGTTCGGACAGTGTAGAATACAGGCCTTTTTTCGGTCCGATTTCCTCTTTAAGCGTATGAGTGTTTGGTTTCGTTCTGGGCAAGGCAGGTGTGTCAAGTTTAGGAGCCGCCGCAGATTCGGCCTTCTAACTTTCTAAAGCGCACGGATGACGAGCCGGCGGCTTTCTAATTTTAACCCGGTTTGGGTAAATCTGTAATTGCACACGCCACCCTTTTTAGTTTTCAAATTCCCTTTCGTCTTTTGCCGCTATAGACAAAACTCGCCGCAGAGAACTCCATCGCATGGCCGCAGCTAACTCTCAGCTTCGAATCTTCAGACTCCAGAACACGATTCTCCTCCCGTTCTCGTCCGAATATTACCAATTTGTGCCATTCCAATACTCACTTCTCTTCACTCTCGCCGCCGGCGCAGCCTCTTTTGCCACTCTGTTCCATTTGCTCCGCCTCGACTCTACTCGCCGTGGCTCTCATTCGCGGCGCCACAGGCCGCGTCGGTGACCCCTCCGGCAAGTGTCTAGAGCGGCCTCGAGCTTGATTTGCTGCATTGAATAAAAACATTGCCGGAATTTCTGCTAGCTTTGCTTCTTCTTTTTTTTTGGAGAGAGATTTGTCACTGGATTCTTGAAGTGATTATTTGATTTTCTTTAATATATACTGTGGATAGATTTCAATGGAAACATATGATTCAAGTAGAACCAAAAGTAGTCAATCATTTTTTTAGTTTTTCGGTCTTACTCCTTGCCGTCCTTGGAAACTATTGAAATTCATTTTCAAGATTTTGTTGAGCTGAGAGATCTCAGATCTCGCCCTGCTACAGGTCCACAATAAGAGCACAATTTGACATCGTAACAATCCAATTGTTAAAGGTTGCTTAAATATTCGAGTGGTAGCTAGGCATGATCACAGTTTGAACCGAACCGTGCACTGTTGAATCGAAATTGGAACTGAACCGTCTGTACGGTTTCGGTTTCCGTTCTTAACCGAAACTAATATGGTTCCGGTTAAGGTTCGAGGTGAAAAGGAACTGGAACCGGCGGTTTCGGTTTCAAACCGTTAAAAATTAAAAATTATAGCTTATTATTATTATTTTTTTTAATAGTAAATACCCAAAATGGTTTCTCGACTATAGCTAAATTCACAAATTGGTCATCGACTTTCAATTTCAACCAATTAAGTCCTTAACTTTGTAATTTTAACACAATGTGGTCTTTTGTCTATTTGGCCGTTTGTTGACTGATTTTTTGAGGATATATATGTAATTTCATGGTCCATCGTCGGTTTTTTAAGGTTCCGGTTGCATTTCCAGAACACACTGTTACATTTGAATACACTGTCGAAAGCAATTTACCAAATCTGGTCGCCTTTCTTCATCCTCCATTTGGATTCAATGTAGTTGAGTTCGTACCAGAGTGAAGAAGACGACGTGTTTCCGTACCAGTGCAACGTCATCCTGGAGGCCTCCACGTGCTCGGACGAGAGCTGAAGGTTCTTCTGGAGATCGTCGATCACGGTCAACAAACAGTCAAATAGATGGAAGACCAAATCGTGTCAAAATTACAAAGTTAATGACTTAATTGATTGAAATTGAAAGTCGATAACCAATTTGTAAGAGTTAATTACCAAAATGGTCCCTTGACTATAGTGAAATTACCAATTTGGTCCTTGACTATTTTTTTAACCAATTAAGTCCCTCAACTTTAAAAATTTTAACCAATTTGGTCCTCCGTTAGTTTGACCGTTAGTCAACCGTTAACTTGGGACCAAATTGGTAATTTCAATATAGTCAAGGGACCATTTTGGTAATTAACTTTAGGGGTGGGCAATTCGATTTAGTTTTCTCGAATCGAATCGTACCGAACCGAAGTAATATACCGAACAACCGAACGATATTGGATTCTTGTATACCGAACGGTTCAATAAAAAACCCGATCTGATCCGATCCGAATTGTTCGGTAAAAAATTAAACTGAATCAAATACCGTTTGATTTTTTAATAATAATAATAATAATAATAATAATAATAATAATAATAATAATAATAAACAAATAAATAATAAATCCAAGTCACTTGTTGCTTGCTCTGCCGTTCAGCTCATATTCTCACGGGTATCTCTCGTAAATGTTTTATTTGATTTCTTTATGGTTTGTTATCAAAAGTTTTATATTATGTGTTATGATGTTTACATAGTCCATATCCAAAGTCTAATATATAACAAAATAGAAATCCAAAGTTCAAACGGTATTTGGTTCGGTTCAGTTTTTACCGAACAATTCAGTTCGGTTCAAGTTTTTACCGAACCGTTCGATATACAAGAATCTATTACCGTTCGGTTGTTCGGTATATTACCAAATCTAACTAGTTTGGTACGGTTCGGCTCGGTTCGAGAAAACTGAACCGAATTGCCGACCCTTAAAGTTAATTACCAAAATGGTCCCTTGACTATAGCGAATTACCAATTTGGTCCCAAGTTAACGGTTGACTAACGGTCAAACAAACGGAGGACCAAATTGGTTAAGATTTTTAAAGTTGAGGGACTTAATTGGTCAAAAAAATAGTCAAGGACCAAAGGTAATTTCACTATAGTCAAGGGATCATTTCGGTAATTAACTCAATTTGTAAATTTAGCTATAGTCGAGGGACCATTTTGGGTATTTACTCTTTTTTTAATAAATCTGGTTATAACCGGAACCTTACTATAAGGTTCCGGTTCCGGTTTGTCCATTTGCGGAACCGGAACCGAAGCCGCGATCACCCCTAGTGGTAGCTGTAGTTGAAATATTCTCACGAGCTTCGGCGCAATGTTCACGAAGTCTATTTACATAACTAGAATTAATACCCAAAATCGTCCTCGACTATAATGATTTTTCTCAATTTCGTCCTAAACGACTTTGGTGACTTAATATCGTCCCAGACTTTTGTGTTTCGCTCAATTTAGTCCTCCATTTGTTATTTCGTCAAATTGGTGTTAAATAAAGGGACAATTCAGTAATGTCAATATTGATCTATCTTTACTTTCAACTTGTGAAGTGCGAAATTCCTCTTTCTTGTACGAATTACACCCAGAATTACTCCCGGACCTGCAAATCAAATTTTATATTCGCAGTTCTGGGAGTAATTCGTAAAAAAAAAAAAAGATTTCGCAGTTCATATGTCTATGAGTACAGAGATGCCAATATTAAAATTATGAAATTGTCTATTTATTTAACATCAAATGGACAGAATAACAAATGAGGGACTAAATTGAGCAAAAACACAAAAGTCTAGGACTAAATTGAGCGAAATACAAAAGTCTGGGACAATATTAGGTCACCAAAGTCGTTTAGGACGAAATTGAGAAAAACCACTATAGTCGAGGACAATTTTGGGTATTAACTCAATTAATTCTCTTATAATTTCATCAAATGAGCTGGAAGTTCTTGAAGAAATATACACGTATAGTAGTGTAATTTTAATTTAAAATTACTTCACGTCTTCATACTAAATTCAAATTTTGTATCGTATTTGTAGCATTAATGTTTGATATGCATCCTTAGTAAGGCCTATTTTGTATATTATGACAATATAATATTGAGTTTCTAAAATGAGAAACCAATCTTATTGGAATTAATTATATGTTCCTTGTACTAAGTCATTATAAAATCCCAGGAATAAGGTTCAAATTGGTCAAATTGGTCACTGAACGTAATTTGAAAATGCAATTAGGCCACTGAATGGAAAAAAAAAAAGTGCAATTAAGCCACTGAACACTAAAAAAATGTGCAATTTCACATGATAGCAGGTTACCCTCAATTTTAGCAGGTTATCTGCTTACGTGGCAGCTGAGTTGGCATTTTTAATAAATTTCAATTAATTTTTAATAAATTTTAATAATAACTTTTTATTAATTTTTTTTTAAAAAAATAAAAATGACTTTATTTTATTTTTTATTTATTTTTTTCCAATTTTTTATAAAATTTATTATTAGAATTAATTATTAAAAATTATTTAAAAATTATTAAAAATGCCAACTAAGCTGCCACGTAAGCAGGTAACCTGCTAAAATTGATGGTAACCTGCTATCCGGTAAAATTGTATACGTTTGGAGAGTTCAGTGGCCTAATTGCACATTTTTGAGTGTTCAATGACCTAATTGCACTTTTTTTTTTTTTTCGTTCAGTGACCTAATTGCATTTTCAGGTTACGTTCAGTGGCCAATTTGAACCTTATTCCTAAAATCCCAACACCTACATTACTTGAAACTAAATAGAATTCTTTAAAAAAAAATGATAAAATAAACCAAAAAATCATTCACAAAACCTCACATCATCTTCAATACTCTCACACTATTTTGAACTAAACTAAAATAATATTGTTTTAACGAATTTGAATGGGGAATTCTATTTGCACCACCCTAATTGCTATTTGCACCACCTATTTAATAGGTGTGATAACTTTTAGGTGGTGTAAATGAAAAATTGCTATTTGCACCACCTTCATTAATTTTAGTCAAACATTATTTTTTTAACAAATATTTATTATAAATGACACTTTTTCCCCTTAGGTATATGCTTTTAACACTTTTTCCCTCTTAGTTATTCATGTATCCACATTTGCCTCCTAGTTATATTAAAAGTGGCATGTTTTCTTCCTTTTATGTTTGATAGACATTTTTACCATTAAAACTAAATATTTCATTTATTTTTTCTTCTCCAACAAATTATTGTTTATATGTACGGATGGTCACAGTTCAGTTCAAACAATTTTTTTTTTTGTATTTATTATTGTCAGTTCAAAATTTATTTATTGATTATAAATTTTATTTCTTATTTAAAAAAATTAATAATTATTTTTTTGTATTTTATTTTTTCGGTTCTGAATCGTAAGCAAAGCCAAAGGGAGTTTGTTTTAATTTGCAATCACACGTGTTATATATTACTCTTCCGAACTTCATTCCAATTAAAAAGGGGAGGGGGGGGGGGGATATTGATTTCTTAGGCTTTCGCAGTCATATTGAAGTTGACAATCCATTACGTTCCAATGGCATTTTGGAGTGTGATTTTATATCTAAGATTATATTTGATTTCTCTCTTTTTGAGGAATGCACACCTTCATTAAAGGACATATATACTAGTAATCTACAATT